TTTGGATTTGATAAATTATACTCTAAAAAATTTGACAGCAACAATTTAATATCTTAATAGAGCTTAAATTCAGGATTATCCAAATATTCCCCCTTTTTATTCTTCTTATGAATAGTATCAAAATCTATTGGATTTTTTATAACTTCTTTATATTTTATAGAACTTGGATCATATTGCCATAATAATTTTTCGTCATCAAAATATGTTAAATATCTGATAAGTTCAGAAAAAATTATTTTTCTAATTTCTATGCGACATTTAGGACATCTATATGAATTGAAAAAAGGTTTTCGATCTTAAAATAAAGGTTCACACTTCTTATGAACATATTATTCACAATCTCCGCATTAAAATTTGTTTATTGCTTTATCTTTTTCAAATATAGTTTTTTTGCATAAAATACAATATTTATTTTTCTCATATTTAATTACACATTCATCACACAAAGAATTCTCAATAAGTTAACTTGCACATGAAGTACATGAATTAGGCAATTTCTTTTGTTGAATTTTTTTTTATTTTAAAGACTTCTTCAACTACTCATTATGCATAGACTACTAATTCAAACTACTTTAATGATAAGAGCTACTCAATCCTTATTCCCCAGAACTTTGTTCATTAAGTAGCTGAGTATTATTTGGATAATCTGTAATATTTTATTATTTCTAAACAGCTCCCCTTGTAATTTTTACTCCTTTTTCCAATAATTTAAAATACTCTCCATTAGTTATATTCAACTATTCATCCATTATTAATTATAAAAAAATTTTTTATTATGAAACCAATATATAAGTTTTTTTACTTATTTTAATTTACTTTTTAACATTATATCATTTCGAATATCAAATATTTTTTGTAAAAATACTTGGAGTATAACATAACTTTTTGTTAAAAAATTTTATTTTCCAAATAATTATATAACTAAATAAAAAAGCCAAATCATAATGATATTTCATCATGCCAAAGGCTTAACTTTTAAGTTATAAATACTATATATTTTATATTATAGCTAAAAATTATAATCTAAGAATTAAATGTTTCAAATATTACGAAGAGAACTTAGTAATTTTTTACTGTGTTTAAAATTAAATTACATTAAAAATCAAAATAAATTGTAATAATATTTTAAGATCTTATTAATAACTATGCTTCTATTAGGAAATAGCTTTAAATTAGAATTAAAATTTGAAGATAATTTAAATTTAGAATTGTAACAAATAATATAATGATTATAATTATATATTTAATAGAATATTTGATTTATATCTATCATGATTTATATTTATTTCTTTTTGGAATATGTTCTGATGATGATGAAGTTTGATTCTAACTTTGACTATCAAATTCATTTAATTAATGTTTGATTTGCTTTTTTGGCTAAAAATAAAGAGGATTTTTAATACCTATTATTATTTCTATTCTTCATCATCTATGATTAAAAAATGTTAACTAATCAATTCTTTAAGAGCACTCTTAGTTATTCTAACTTTTTCATCTTTTTTCTTTTAAGGTTTATTAACAACTTAAACAACAGAACTATCTGATTCTTATTAATTTATTATTTTCTTTTTTGATGTTTAATGTTTATTTACTTTATTACCTTTTTTTTAAACACAACCTTTCAATAAACTTGTTGTAACACATGCTAAAACACCATCTGTTGACATTACTCTTTTTCTTTTACCATCAATTATATTATCTTAAGATATTTCTTACATTTAATTAAATAAATAATTAAAAAAGAATAATGCGCTTAAGTTTGTATGTATTAGAATACTTATTGTTAATGCATCATTTATTTTTATTTAGTTCGTTTTATAATACTTAAACACTTTTAAAATTAAAAATTTCTTAATTTATGTTTGACCTTAAAGATTCTTATAAATCTTTATTATTGATATATTTTTTTAAATGTGAGATAATCCTAAAAGTAATTATTTAGAATGATTAATAACTTATTAAAGAATAATCTGTTCGATATAGGTTATTAAAAGCTCGCTTGCAGAATATAAAATCTCAATATTAAATTCAAGTATTTACAATAATCACTGAAAATTAATAATGATAATTATTTTATAAAGATTTTCCTTAAAGTCAGATTTATAATAACTCTTTGTATATAAAACTGTCTAAAATCTGGTTTTCTGTTTGTTTTTGTAAAAAAGACTTTGATTTTTGTTGTTAATTAATTATTCTAATAAAAATCTTATTAGTTTTTGATCTTATGAACTCGAAGTTTATAACAACTATAAATTTAATCAATAAAGCAATCATTTTAATTGTTAACATCAGAATCATTTTTCCAGTCAAAATTTTTAGTGATTTTTATTTTCTTTAATTCTCTTTAAAAAATAAAACGAATTTTTAAAAATTGGCTCAAATAATTACAATTTTTGCTGTTGTTTCTATGAAGATATAAGCAGAATTCACAAATTCTAACTTGAAACTTTTTGAATTAAAATTGCATAAACTTAAAAATAAATTCAAATTCAAATTTCTAAATATTTATACTCACTGTATAATGTAATTTATTTCCAATAAATTAAATTTAATGGTTTATACATACTACTTTATCATAATATTTAAATATACTCAAATTCTTTACAGTAAGTAAATTTATGAAAGTAACACTTATTTCGTCTTAAAATATATTACCTCAAACTATGAAAATTTTTTTAATTAAAAATACAGTTATTAATTATAATGATTATTAATAGAAATATTTAATTGTAAAATTTCTTTTTTTTGAATTTTTGAAATCTTTATTTTTGATTTTTACAGGTACTTAATTTTTGATTATTTCTTTTTAAATAATAAATTCTTATCAATGAAATTAGTCTTATTTAGGAAAACATATCTAAAAAAAATATCATATAATCTAATATTTTTTATGAATGGATAATTGCAAGAAGAATCAAATAATACTAAAATTTTACTTTTATTATTTGTTTATTTATGAATTCAGTTTTTTATCTTTCTAAGTTAGAAGTGAAAAATAAAAGATTTTCTAATCAATTACAATTTTTCTATTGTCATATTCATTTTTAATATATCGACTCTGAGCTATCTTTTTGTCAATAAGCTATTTTCTTCTAACATGGTTGTTCCTTAATTAATTATTTAATTAATTTCATCTGTTAGAAATTTTATAATGCTTATTTTTCACATCCTAATAAAATAACATCTAACAATTTAAACACGAAGTAAGTTCTCATTAATATTTCATTTATATAAATAATAAATGGATTTGAATTAAAATTATTACTTTCACCTGAAAGGTTAAGATTATAAAAACATGTTGCAATATTTGGAATTAATAAAGGAAAAATTATTTGATTCATATATCAATAAACATGAGACATGACCAACTTATATTTCTTTAAAAAATTTTAAATATCTATATTCTTCTTGACCAGAAAAGTAAATCTTTATTATATAAGGTTAGGGTAAAACTTATTGTGAACAAATATATACAATGAACTAATCTCTTATTAAAAAAGAAACTAAATCTAATAAACTATTACATTACGAATTATTGAGGAAAATCTTAAATTTAAGTTAGTAGATATTCTCAATGAAATGAAACAATTGAATTAACAAAAAATTTTACTTAGATGTAATTGCATGCTATTTAAAACTTACAAATAAGATGTTTGGATAAAAAATCAAAAATTTTATTAATGATTTGAAAATTTAGGTTTAATTTTAGAAAAAAGTTTGATTAATCTTCAAATAAGCAGAAAATAAGCTAAAGTTAAATGCTCTCAAAATCGAATAAATTTTTTTTAGAATTTCTGTTCATAATCAAATCATTAAATAAATTATTTTCTTTATGTAAAAAATGGTTGCTGTTTTTTCGCATAATTTAATGAAATTATAACCTTATCTATTTGTTTAAAAAGAAAATGTAAAACTTAGAATGTTAAGATAATTCTATAAGCAGCATTCTTGGTGGTAATCATATATATATACCTCTGAATATAGATATAAAAACTGAACTGTATTTTGGAGTTATTTTTAAAATAATTTTTAATTCCTTACACTTATTACAAAAAAAGATTATTAGAGAAAATTTCATCCAAGCAAACAATAATAATTCAATGAATTATTTTAATTCTATATGATAAATAATGTAATACAAATTTACAATATTTTTGATAATATTAGATTAAAAATTTAATGAACATTTATTTTATTTCCAAAGAATTATTCGTTTAAATATTTGTGAAAAAGGTTTAAAAGTACGATGATTGAAATTTTGAACAAACTTTTCAATTTAAAATCAACATAATCTCTCTATTTATTTTATAAACTTTTACTAAAATAAAAAAGCAAGATTTATATTATCCAATGAAAGTTCTCAATATTTTGTTAATAATATTCAATTTATTTTAGTAAAACTGTAATGATGTAATTCTATGCTAATTAGAAGAAAAGTTTAAAATTTTTAACTATCTTTAAAGGCATAGTACATATATAAGAATAAATGAATTAAGGATGATTGAGAGAGCTTAAGCTAGCTGGAAACTATTCTTAATGTTATGNTTGACCAGAAAAGTAAATCTTTATTATATAAGGTTAGGGTAAAACTTATTGTGAACAAATATATACAATGAACTAATCTCTTATTAAAAAAGAAACTAAATCTAATAAACTATTACATTACGAATTATTGAGGAAAATCTTAAATTTAAGTTAGTAGATATTCTCAATGAAATGAAACAATTGAATTAACAAAAAATTTTACTTAGATGTAATTGCATGCTATTTAAAACTTACAAATAAGATGTTTGGATAAAAAATCAAAAATTTTATTAATGATTTGAAAATTTAGGTTTAATTTTAGAAAAAAGTTTGATTAATCTTCAAATAAGCAGAAAATAAGCTAAAGTTAAATGCTCTCAAAATCGAATAAATTTTTTTTAGAATTTCTGTTCATAATCAAATCATTAAATAAATTATTTTCTTTATGTAAAAAATGGTTGCTGTTTTTTCGCATAATTTAATGAAATTATAACCTTATCTATTTGTTTAAAAAGAAAATGTAAAACTTAGAATGTTAAGATAATTCTATAAGCAGCATTCTTGGTGGTAATCATATATATATACCTCTGAATATAGATATAAAAACTGAACTGTATTTTGGAGTTATTTTTAAAATAATTTTTAATTCCTTACACTTATTACAAAAAAAGATTATTAGAGAAAATTTCATCCAAGCAAACAATAATAATTCAATGAATTATTTTAATTCTATATGATAAATAATGTAATACAAATTTACAATATTTTTGATAATATTAGATTAAAAATTTAATGAACATTTATTTTATTTCCAAAGAATTATTCGTTTAAATATTTGTGAAAAAGGTTTAAAAGTACGATGATTGAAATTTTGAACAAACTTTTCAATTTAAAATCAACATAATCTCTCTATTTATTTTATAAACTTTTACTAAAATAAAAAAGCAAGATTTATATTATCCAATGAAAGTTCTCAATATTTTGTTAATAATATTCAATTTATTTTAGTAAAACTGTAATGATGTAATTCTATGCTAATTAGAAGAAAAGTTTAAAATTTTTAACTATCTTTAAAGGCATAGTACATATATAAGAATAAATGAATTAAGGATGATTGAGAGAGCTTAAGCTAGCTGGAAACTATTCTTAATGTTATGATTTTTTTTTTTGAAGATTTTTGACAGATTCAGAAAATGCTAATACTTAAAATTATTTTATTACTTGTTTGATGCAAGATAGTACTAAATAATTTCATAATCAAAAAGACAATGTTAAACAATCACTAATTAAAATATTCATATTGTATATATTATAATTAGATTAAGATAAACAAAGAATTGTAACAAATAATATAATGATTATAATTATATATTTAATAGAATATTTGATTTATATCTATCATGATTTATATTTATTTCTTTTCGGAATATGTTCTGATGATGATGAAGTTTGATTCTAACTTTGACTATCAAATTCATTTAATTAATGTTTGATTTGCTTTTTTGGCTAAAAATAAAGAGGATTTTTAATACCTATTATTATTTCTATTCTTCATCATCTATGATTAAAAAATGTTAACTAATCAATTCTTTAAGAGCACTCTTAGTTATTCTAACTTTTTCATCTTTTTTCTTTTAAGGTTTATTAACAACTTAAACAACAGAACTATCTGATTCATATTAATTTATTATTTTCTTTTTTGATGTTTAATGTTTATTTACTTTATTACCTTTTTTTTAAACACAACCTTTCAATAAACTTGTTGTAACACATGCTAAAACACCATCTGTTGACATTACTCTTTTTCTTTTACCATCAATTATATTATCTTAAGATATTTCTTACATTTAATTAAATAAATAATTAAATAAAATAATGTAGAATCTCATAATTCAAGAGATTTTTAGAAAACAAATAAAAACATAAAATAATTATTAATAAGTATTTATTATTATATTTTAATCGATATTTATAAAATAAGTTATATATGATTGAAGAAAGTAATTATCATTCAGAACAAGGGAATAAATATTAAAATTAATTAGAAAGAAGAAAAAGTAGTGCATAGTTTTAGGAAACTTCTACAATGATGAATCCAAGTACTGCACATCTTTCAAGAAATGCATCGTATTCAATGCCTCACGAAAGTCAAATAAATCCTTAGAGTAAAAGAAGTGAATAAAATAATAGTACTTGCAAAAATAGCTGCAATGGTTCCATACAATTAAGACAATAAAAAGAAGTTTTTTCGAGTTGATCATGTTCTAAAATTAAAAAAGAAACCAGATCCTTTTGAGGAAGAATAAGAAAATGAAATAAGAAAGAACTTGTAATTATCACCTGAAATAGTGAAAGAAGATTTATAAAACAAGCCTTTAGTAGGACCTCAATCAGTCTAACTATATTATCAACATTATAAGAAAGTGAATAAAGTTCGTTAGCAAAACGAGTTCTATAAAATATCAGGTAAGTTTTAGATAAATAAATAGATAGTGTGTAAACTGCAATGCTTCGTTAAGCAGAATAAATTGATGTATTGCCATGTAAGATAGGGGTAATAAAATCAAAAGGAAATGATTAATCTCTTTAAATTAGTCATTAGAAATATGGAGATAGATATGCATCAATGTTAAGCGAAGGATTAAAGGTGAATCCAAATATTAAAGATTTTTATATGGCAAATAATAGAATTTAAAGTTCAGGAGCAACATAAATTTTGAGTTAAATAGGTAAAGTGGCTAAAGTTTTGGATCTTTAATAAAATAATATTGGTAAAATAGGAACAGATTCAATTTGTTAATAGATTTAATCTCGAGAAAACAAGTAAGTATAAGAATAATAATAATAGATTGGAAGTATTAAATTTAGAAGATAATAAATTGGGAGATAGGAATGTTACTCGTATTTTAAAAGCATTGTTAAATAGTAATAATAAATTGAAATCATTAAATATAAGCAAAAACTACTTAACAAATGAAATTGCTGAAATTTTAAAGGAAAGCATAATTTAACTGGATAATATGGAGTAATTATATATTCATTGGAATTAAATAAAAGGTTGGGGAGGATAGAAAATTTTTGAAGCTTTGATAGAGAATAAGACTTTATTAGTATTTGATGCAGGTTGGAATAGTTTTGGAATATAAGAGAGAAAGGATGTATAATGTATACAAAAGATATGTGATTTTTTAATAAATAACAAAACTGTATTGCATTTTGATTTATCATCTAACTAATTTAGTCTAGGCGATTGTAAGTTGATAGCTAATGCATTAAAATAGAATAGAACAATATATGGATTTCATTTTGTAAATAATTGGGGTATTATTGATGCCAGAGGATTTCTGTAGATTTAGGAAAATGAATTGTAGAGAGTATTAGGAGAAACTCCTAGAATTAAAGGATTGTTGTAAACTACTACAATTAGATAAGAGAATGTCTGTTGGATTTGTGAAGGATGGTAAGAATAAAAGTTTATTTGGATACCTGATGTATCAGGAGAAGGTGAAGCAGATCCTTTATTTATTCATTTTGATTTTGAAGCTTACAAATAAGTGTATATCCCTAAGAATCAGGATCAAATATCTATATCTTTGATGATTCCTACAAATAATACCTAATATATTTATACAATGATTGATACATAAGTAATTGCTAATGATTAACCAAATATGCCTTATGGACATCAGTTGAAAATTAATTATAATGGTAATTACATAACTGTTTTGATGGATAATGTAAACTATGTCAAAAAAGATAAACATTTTTTATTATTTGACTAAATAGAATTTAAACCATTAATTAATGTTCTTCCAAGAACGCCAGACCCTGTGTATATACCTCCAAAGTTGAAAAAATAAAAAAGGATCTGGACATTTCCTATTTCTATTTGGGCTAAAGATTTCAAATTTGAAAATGAAGATTTGTTAAAGAAATGTTTTGAAAAAGACTTTGGATGTAGTAAAATATCAAAAATTGTCAAGAATCCTGATGAATTATTAGAAATTAAGAATGTTTTGTGGGCACATTATAGAATAATTAAAGAAACCTATAAATAATACAGTTCTAACAGTCCAACAGGTGATGTTTGGTCAATATCTTCAAATGTTATCACTGAATTCGCTTAATAAACTGAATTAATAGATGGTAAAACTTTGAAATTATCTGATTTGGATTTGAAATTTATTGCTACATGTGCAGCCTCAATTGAATACAAAGGAAATTTTAGAAATCCTGAAAGAGCTCTTTGTAGATTTTAATTTATGGAATTTCTTGTAAGAGTTTCTGAAGATAAATATTTAAAGACTAAAGTTGCAACTAATATGTTAGAGGCAACTAAAATGATATTAGAATAATGTAAACCATATATGTCCACTTTTGATGCACAGAAATGGAGAGATGAGAGATATTTCAATGAATAATGCGATGATTGCCTAAAATTATTTAAACCATTACTTAATCATATTTATAACAAATATAGTGTAAAGAAAGTGAAACCGGGATAAAAGAAATTTATGTGTTTAGATGAAATTCATGAAATATGTTCTTAAGCCAGTTTATATGATGAAAGATTCGTTGAAAGAGATGCTGATAATGTAAATAAATAAATAAAATTAGGCTTTTAATTTGTCAATGATGCTTTAAGTTGATGAATTAGAAAGTGATAGAATCTTTTAGATGACTTTTATCGAATTCTTAGAGGCAATTGGAAGAATTGCTGATAAAGTCTCTATGCCTGGAGTTGATGCAGTTGATTTAACCTGGGATCAAAGAGCTTCTTAACCACTTCATTTGAAATTAGAGAAATTGTTAATCCATTTAGCAAATACTTGTGCATCTGAAGAATTCAAGTTACAGTATGGCAATATTAATAAATCAATGTTTGCAGTTATTGAAGAAGATGATTGAAATTAATTTATATTTGTGATACTGTAACATAATTTAAATATCAAATTGGATGGGCAATCTTTTCTAGATATCTAAAGTAATAAACAAAAATCATGATTGGTTATCCAATAAAACAAAAGGTCATCCAGAACATTAAATTTCCTAATTAAGAATCTTATAATTTAAGTAACTTAAAATATTAAAAATATATTTACCTTTTCTAGTCTCTTTTATAATAACATAAATGGTGCTTATGCAAACATTCCAACAAATGCCCATGCCTCTACAACACCTATAGAAGCACTAACTATATATTCATGACCTAATGCTGATACTAAAAACACTATCATATTTGAAGTAGTTCTGCTCATTCCTGATTTAAGACATGGAAAATAAATGTGTCCTTTTTATTTATATAAATAAAATACTAACTAACCAATGATGAACAGGTAGATTCCATAATCTCCAATATTCTTCTAAATTCTTACAATTCCACCAATCTTTATAAAACTCTCTATCAGCAAATCTAAGCAATTCTGCTGTTATATTCAAAAAACATTAGAATTATCCATAAAATAGAGCTATCCACATATAAGTATTAGGTATAGCTAACTTTAACAATCGATCAACTAAAACCATTAAAGTTGGAGCTTTTGTCAGCATTTTGTAAGTGTTTTCTACAAGAGGCTCTGTATATTAGAACCAAATAATCACTAAAAAAAGAATGACAAATATGTATTCGATTATACGTTTAATTAACCAAACCTTACGTATTTATTAAGTTCTTAAATATGACAATTAGAAACACAATGTAGGAGCAGCTAAAAAGTATAAATAATGTTTAAAATCTAATATCTTAGCTTAATTCTAAGAATACTTCTCTAAAATCTTTAAGTTTTCATTGTTGACTTCATATTCAGCAAAGAAATTATCAAGGGAAACTTTCTTATTTTTTACTTATTTGATTCTTTATATATAAAAATAAGTATTTCTTAAAAAATGAGCATAACTGATTAATTTCATAAAAGCAATGAATTATAGACCTAATAGAATCAAGTTTAATCCAGGATGTGATCCTTAAATTAAATAACAAGGAATAATGATCGTAGAAGCAATATTGATTATATTAAATACCCTTATTATATTTGGATTTTAATCTCTTTTAAATTATAAATATTAAATTCCAAATCCAACTAATAAATTAAATATTATAGCCAAAAATGCTTACATTATTGGATTACCATTAATATGCATCATCTCAAACTTCCAGAAAATATTTGTTATAAGCAAACCATATTTTTAAAAATTTTCAAATATTAATCTTATATGATTAGCTATCAATATTAAAATTGCCAGATTTAATATTCCTCTAAAATTTTGTTCTGGTGATTCTGTACTTAATAATGATGTTCTTTCTTTTTTCACAGGTTGATATGCTAATGGTCCCATATATTTAGTATATGATTTTGCTGAGTTAATCTATATATTGTGATAATAATTTTACATTATTTTGTAAATAAGACATTGCTTTCTTATCAGCAAATTTAATTGCTATGATTTTAGATTCATCCTTCTAACTTACAAGAGTGATCGTTCTAATTAATAATTAAATTTACAATTAAGCTTCATCAATTATGGAAGAACACTTATCAAAAAGAACAGAGAAGAGAATCAGGTTTTCATTTTCTAAGATGCAAAGTTTATGTTATTCACATCTAAGAATAAAGGGCTTAAAGTCATCCCGAACTAATTGTGTTAATTTATCTTAGGCATCAGAAATAAGTAATTCAGGATTATACACCTTTATCATTATTATATTATTGATTCAATTAATTTCTCTCTCAATTATTGGAATATTTCTAAAGTTAATTCACTTGAATGATTGTAATTCAAGAAGACTTATAAACTCAATTTCTTAGCCAATGAACGAGCCATAGTGTGAACCATCTCAGTTTGATTGTCAATAATATCAATTACTGTAGGTAATTAATCATAAGGTGTAGCTATTGCAAGCACCAAAGACTCTGTACCTATCATATCTTGATCAAACAAATTTATAAGGACTTGATCAGTCATTCTTGTTGTTTGCAAAAACCATTTAATTTCATTGATTTGAAAAGCACTTTATTTTACAATCATTTTATTTTATATAAGGGTCACACATATATTTATTAAATAATTTGTTGTTTGACTTCTTAGAAAAGACTCAAATTTATGATGCCTTTATTCTCAAACAAAATCTCATAGTATCTTTCATCCTATATTGATACATTTACATATCCAAAAGATTTAATATAAATTTCAGAAAAAGAATTAACAAATTTTCATTAAGAATTTTATTTTTTAAAATAGATTTAAACATATCTATGTCTATTTCCAAAAAAAGCAATAAATAAAGTTAAAAACAGATTGAAAACTAATGGATTGATAAAGTAGTCTGTCAAAATTATAGAATTCTCAGTCCTTTAAATTCAGGTTTCTAATTCTTCTTAATTTGCTAGGTACATTTGGTCAGATCTACTTGGCAATTCATTAAATAAAGTAAGAATATTTTGCAGTAAAAATATTATCAACTGGAAAAAACCCAATTCTTGCTTAATCTGTAAAGAATGAAGTAGACGTATTGTATAAATTAAATGGACATATTGGATTTCCTCGTTTATATTATTTCATTTAGAACGGAACTGAAAGTGTCATAGTTTAAACATTGTTAGGATAGAACTTATATTAATTATTGATGCAAAGTCCAAAAAAAGTATTTTCCTAAAAAACAGTTCTGATGTTCTTAGATTAGGCAGTAGAGCGATTATAATATTTGCATATGAATGATTACATACATAGAGATATAAAGCCAGAGAATTTTATGACAGGTTTAAAGGAAGATGAAATATATCTAATTGATTTTGGATTTACATCAAAATATAGAATATAAGGATAGCATATAGAGAGATAGAAAAATGAAAATATAATTGGAACTCCAAGGTATTTAAATAATTAACTTTGCTAAGCCTAGATTTTGCCCAATCTGTTCCCACTTGAGTTTATCTTAAAATAGAGCAAGTGATTTAGAAAGTTTAGGATACTTGGCTATATACTTTTTGAAAGGTTCACTTCCATGGATGAATATACATGCAGAAAGTCCAGAAGAGAAAATTAAACTTATTGGATAGAAAAAGATAAATACATCTATTGAAGAATTATGGTAATTTTATTATAATAATAAATAGTTCTGGATTACCAAAAACATTTGAAGATTATTTTAAATATATTTTAAATATTTCTTTTGATGGTGATCCTAATTATGACTATATTTAAAAATCATTTAAGAAATTGTATCAAACATTAGGATATCCCTTTGATTAGAAATTTGATTGGACTAAAGAAGAAATTAAAAACTCTTAAGATAATGAAAAAAGTACCAAACAATAACAGTTTTTAGATGTAGGAAGAAAATCATTTACTGCAGATGTTAATATTGAAGTTATACCTTCATAAATTAAAAAAAAGTAAGATTATTCTAAAAAAATTTAGAAAAATTGAACGAATTCATCATCTCAAAATTTAAGGAGAATTATTTTTAAGTACTGATTTGAAATAAGAAGAAATTTAAGAATTTGAACCAGGACTAACACTATTTGATAGAATGCAATAGATAAATAAATAATAGTTAAAAAAATATAAATGAATTAAAATTATATATTCTGTTATGAGATAAAATATTTCCTTTTAACCTTAAGTAGATGAGAAAACTGTTTTTTAGTCTAATTCATCAAATATATACGGTACAGGGAGATTTGGAGATATAAGACCAAAAAATATTACATTTTAAGGGAATGACAGTTAACGTAACATGGTTTTTGATCCAAGTAAAGTTTAATCCTCATAACATATGACATTTTATAAGTAAAATGATAGTAATAGATAATCTGGAGCTAAATTTGGATCTTAATTAGATTCTTAGCAAAAAGGTTTTGCATTTTCATAAAGTGCAAATCCTTTTTTTCAATAATCAGAACCTTAAGAAAAATAATAATAATCATTTAGTAGTTAAGGATCTGAAAAAAAGAAAGGAGCATCAAATAAATATTTTTAAAATGGAAATCATTAATATTAGTTTTAAAATAATAATCTTTAACATGTGAATTCTGAAGAGAAAACTTGTGAGTAGCATGGTAATACAGCTAAATTAGTTTGTACAACTATTGGATGTTTGGTTGGAGGATTATGTGAGGAATGTCAACATTAATGTCCTAATATTACTGCAATTGAAGATTATTTTAGAGTATTAGAATTAAAACTAGCAAACTAATAATTAGATGTTATCTAAAATGAAAAATTTAAATCTCTTTCTTCAATTAGAGATTATTTCAATCAAATTAGATAGGAAATAATAAATCAAATAGATGAATTAGAAATCAAATTTATTGCAAAAGTGATTAATGAAACTAGTTTTAATATAGAATTACCATATTAATTTGTTTAAGAATTATTTGAAATGAATTTATTAGATCTTACCAGATAAACATCATAATTATCAAAGTTGATTTATAATGATTATCTGAAGGTATCTGAATTTAGTAAGATTTTTGTCTCAGATTAAGGGAGATTTTAAAAGAAGTTAAATAAGAATGTATAATTGCTAAATTAATTGTTTAGTAATTTTATATATTGTTGCGAATAACAAGTTTTTAGTATAATTTATTTTATAGCTTTTAAGTTGTGTAGTAGATCATTCAGAATAAAACCTTTAATTGATTGATTAATCAACATAGTTCCATTAGAGTAAAACATTTGAAAATCAAATGAAGAATTTGAAACCATATAAATTAATAGAAAATAAATCTAAAAACATATTAGATATATGTTTAATATCAAATTCAATATTAGCAACAGCAGAAGAAAATGGTGAAATAATTCTATGGAAATTACCTTATTTTGTTTAATTATTTAAATTTTAGCATGGAGTTGAGTGTATATCTTTAGCTTCTATAAAGGATAATTAAAATACATAATTTTTATTGAGCGCGTAAAAATAAAATTAAAAATTAGAGGTAAAGATAAAGATGAATACTAAATATATTTATGGAATGTGGATTTAAGATCTAGAGTAGGAGATGTAATAGGACATTCTAAATAATTAAGAAAAGTAGTTCCATTGGCATATTCATAAATAGCATGGTGTTAAGAGGATTCTAAAATACGAATATGGAAATTAAATGAAAAAGAATTAGCACATGAACTCAATGTTCATTCAGCTTGGATAAATGATTTATGTAAAATATCAAGAACATTAATTGCTTCTTGTAGTAGAGATTATACAGTAGCAGTAATTGATTATTTGACTGGAAAAACCAAATTTATTATTAAGGATGTAACATATGTAAATTGTGTAACATCAATAAATAGTGAGTAGTTTGCTTTTGCAAATTATAATGGCTAAGTAAAGATCTATTAAGTTGAATAACCACAACTTATATAATAGATATAAGTATCGATGAATTGGATTGATACAAATAGTATTTGGTAATTATGTAGAATTAGTAATGATATTTTGGCAGTACAATAGGCAAATGGAGAAACAAGTATAATCACTCTTGATTAAAGGAAAGATAAAATTATTAAGACAATTCAATAAACAAAAAAAATATAATAGAATGCATAAACAATAATATTTGTAAACAACTTTAAATTTCTTATACTGCCTTAGTAAGGAGATATGCAAGTTTTCTAATGAATATTTATGCGTTCATTTTAAATTTCGTATTAATTCATCTAATTCAAATATACTTTAAATTATTTGGATTTATTATAAATATTCTATTTAATTTTTTCTTTTTCTATTCATTGCACTCTCCTCATGTTATTTTTTATTTATGAATAGCTAATTTTATATTTTCTGTTGCAGCTATTTTAAATAAAATTATGATGAAATTACAATAATTTATGTAAAAAGTTCTAACAAGTTTATTTTCTTTTAAAACTCAATCTTATAAAATATTTTATCAAGATATAAGAACTAATAATAATAATAAGATTATTTTCATTGTTAATAGAAATTCATTTTGATAATTTATGGTTAATTCAATTATCTTAATAAATAGTTTATTTATATAGATATTAATATCACAAGTTAATGTTTCAAAATCTTTAGTTATATAATTATGCAAATTTTGCCTCTTGTTTTCTGCGATTACGAAATCTTTCTTAAATTATATAGAACTCTAGATATAACTTTTAGATTTCAAAAACTGTAACCCATTATTTGTATGTGAATAGAACTTGCAATAATTTTTTTGATCCTTTAACCATATTGTAAATAATGACAGTATGAAAAATACCGAAATGAAACATTTAAAATAAGAGTAGATAGCAAGGAAATTCGTTTCGCCATTTAATTAAAAAGAAAAAAAGTATATAAGTTTCTAATATTATGACAATAACAAATAGAATAGCCCATTCAGTAGTGTAAATAGGAATCAAAAATCTTAAGTCTTAAAATTCAAAGCATTCTTTATATGTGATATTGTTAACTACAGTTGTTATTAAAAGTAAGGGTTACATTAATTACCAATTGATAACAATTAAATTTCTTATTAATGAAATCATGAGAGTATTCCTAATTTTTTGCATCCAATATTCTGATAAGGTTAATGCAAAATCAAGAAGTAATGGTATAAAACTTGTGATTATGTGAAAACAAAGTACAAATAAGGCAATAGAAGCAAATAAATAAGTATTTATTGAATTTAAGATAGTGATACGATTATTGATTTCTCTTTAGACATCTTAATCACTTATTTCTAAGCCCATGTAGGTTAATTCAAAATTTTAACTAAGAGTACATCCATCTGAATTAGTTTAATAAATCGATAGGCCATCATTAGATGATACTTTATAGATAGGTTTATTTAAGAATTCACAATAGTTTGAATATTAGGATGCGGCAATAAAAAAATCAAGAATCATACAAGTTCCTAATAAACTAAATCCAATAGGTTTTTTAGTAATAAATGATGAGTACATTTATTAATTAATTAAATAATAAATTCAATCAAAAATAGAAATTATGATAAACTATAAAAATGGAACAATAAGCCATAAATATAATGTTTTGGTAGAATTTAGGAGATTTATCAGCACAATTTATTGTTATGATTATAAAAATTGTTTATTATATTATAAAATAAAAATTTAGAATGCAAAGTAAATAAATTATTAAGATGAATAGATTATAAACTAATAACAAAGAAGGGAGAGGGCACATTTTCAGAAGTTATAAAAGCTTAGTCAATAAAAACAAATTAATTGGTTGCTATAAAATGTATGAAACAAGTTTTTTAAACAATTGATCAAGTATTAAATTATTTCTATTTTTGGTTAACAAATTGAAAGAGATATAAGCATTAAGAAAGTTATAAAACCATGATCATATTATAAAATTGATTGAAGTGTTATAGTAAACTTGATAAATATAATTTAGTGATGAACCTACTGGAAGATTAGCTTTAGTATTTGAATTAATGGAGTAAAACCTTTATGAACATATTAAGGGTATTAATGTCGAATGAATAGAATAGGTCGAAAAGTACCCTTAAAATAAGAGAAAATTAGAAGTTATATGTATTAATTGCTGAAAGCAATAGAATTCATGCATACAAACAATATATTTCATAGAGATATAAAACCGTAAAAAATGTTTTGTATATATATATAGAGAGAATATATTACTTTTAAGCGATCATCTAAAATTAGCTGATTTAGGATCTTGTAAGGGAATATATTCTAAACATCCTTATACAGAATATATATCAACAAGATGGTATAGATCCCCAGAATGTTTAATGACTGATGGTTATTATGATAGTAAAATGGATATATGGGGAGCAGGATGTGTATTATTTGAAATTACTGCATTATTTCCTTTGTTTCCTGGAAGTAATGAATTGGATTAAGTTCATCGGATTCATAACATTTTAGGAACACCCAATCCTAAAGTACTTGATAGATTTAGAAAACATGCATCACATATGGAAATCAATTTCCCTTCTAAAGTTGGAACTGGATTAGAAAATCTCATTCCTCATGCACCTAAAGATTTAGTTGATTTAATTAAATAAATGCTTATTTATGATCCAGAAGAAAGAATCAATGCTAAATAGGCATTAAGACATCCCTACTTCAAAGAATTAAGAGATTAAGAATAATAAAAACTATTAGAAACAAGTCTATAATCTATTAAATTACTAAAAAAACAGTATTTATTTTTATTTTATTTTTTAAAGCGATGATTCACTTATTGAAGAAGAATAAAATACATCTCATATCTTACATAAAAAGACTTTATTTAATCAAACAAATAAAATTTTATAAAATTCATTTAAAACTAGAAATTAATAACTTTTAGACTCAGTAAAATTGCCAACTCTTACAAAAAAATAGGCAGATTTAAAAAAAGCTTATGGGCCTATTCATTTTTAGAGTATTAATTATATTTTATATTGATAGATAAAGAAACAAAAAAAAAGTCCGTTTAATATGAATATGTTTTATATGGTAAAAAAGCAAATCTTGGTAATTTTTTAAATACTATCAGACAAAAATGAATAATATTGATCTTATATTATTTTTTAAATTATTTAATATTCAATGAGAAAAGTAACAGCCAAAGTATTAGTGGTCGGCAGTTCTGCAGTTGGAAAATCTGCTCTTATACAACTATATACAACAGGAGAAGTTAATTTTTTAAAGGATTATCAATTAGTATAAACTTTATTAGATTTAATCTTAGACTCAAATAGCTGAAATATCTACGAAATTGATTCCATTTGAATCAGAAGAAAAAGATGTCGAATTATATCTATTTGATATTGCTGGATCAGAAATATATGAATAAGCAATTTTAAAATCGAACATAGTCAAATTTAATTAATATTATTCAAGTTGAAAGATGCTAACTTTGTTTTCTTATGTTATGACATGACAAAAGAGACTACCTATGAAGCAGCTAAAGAATGGTTTGAGAGAGTTACAAAGGCTAATGGAAAGAAGTTACCAGGTGTTTTAGTTGCAATGAAATCAGACTTATAAGCAATAAGAAAAATAGAAAATAAATAAGGAATGTAATTAGCTAGTCAATTGGGATTATAATTTTTTTCAGTTTCAACAGTAATTTTTAATATTTAATAAAACTAGGCACGTAATTAAGACATTGATCACCCTTTTTAACATATAGCGTAATAGTTAATTAAATGATATTAATTATTTTAATAAATGGCTAACATATTAGAATTATTTAAAAAAGAAATCAAATAAAAAACACAAGAACAGAAAGGTAAATTAATGGATTTTGATCTTGACAATGTTAAGATTGAGAAATTAGACAAATAGGCAGCTGAACTTCTTGAAAAACAAAATCAGCTGGAATCTTTAAGTCTTGTAGAGTGCTCCTTAATGACACTTGAGGGATTTCCTAAATTACCAAATTTATAGAATTTGGTGTTGGAATAAAATTCTTTAGATGGAGAAGCAATTAAATTTATTGCTAACACTTATCCAAATTTAATCTGTCTAAGCTTAGCAGAAAATAAAATAAAAACATTCTCTGTATCTTATTATAATATCATTAGGAATTGGAGCCCATTAAGAATTTGAAAAAATTACAATAATTAGATTTATCTGATAATCCTATATCTAAATAAGCCAGTTATTTTAAAAATGTGTTTGATTTGGTACCAGGATTATAGGTTTTAGATAACAAAGATAAAAATGGAAATGACATTTAATATAGTGATGATGATGAAGAAGAAGGAATTGGAGCAGATGGATCAGAAAATTCAGATGATGATTTAGATGATGATGATGATGATTTAAATGATGATGATGATGATGAAGAATCAAGTCCTAAACCAGTTAAAAAAACAAAAAAATGATAAATTTATTAAGATTTTTTAGTTCATTAAATTTTTATTTATTTTTATTTTATAAATTATAAACTCATCTTTTTGCTCTTTATAATATATTTTTTAAATTATTTATTTTATTATCTAGATCTGTTACATTTCCTGATTTTCTTTCATATTAATGAACCTATTTAATAGGTTGTTTATAATTATTGGCAGATTGATTTGTTCTTTATTTTACCTATTATTATTATTATGGAGGTTTATGTTATTAATAATTTTATCTAGGTGGAGAAGGCTATTTAAATATATTATTTCTTCCTGGTGATGGCTTCTATTAATTTATAGGAGATGCCTTATTTTGTATTGGTTTTGTATATTATTATGTTCTAGATGGAGAAGGTTTCTTTTAAATTGGTTATTTATTCATAGGAGAAGTATTATAAAACTTCGGTTTCTAATAAGCAGCCTAATTTAATTATTTAAATTTACTGAATTTTAAGTAGAACTACGTGAATTCTTACTTAATGCTGGAGATGCCTATCTTACATTTGGTGAAGCATTTCCAGATGAATTATTTGAGTTCAATCTATTTGGAACTGAATAATTTGATTTCCTACTTCCATTTGAATGGTTACTATATGGAGAATAAAGTCTATCAGTTACACCTTTATAACTAAACTTTTTCATTGATTAAGATAATTCTGTTTCTAATTGATTTATTCTCCTCTTCTACACTACGTCTTATTTCTTTAATGAATCTATTTATCTATGATTTTATCAATTACATACTAATTCAGTCCTTCAACTTCTTTTTCATATTTTTATATTATCTTTTATGCCTTCACCAATTTGCTTTCCTCTTCTTCGTTCATCAATCTTATATGTTCCTTTATTCTAGTATCCATATCTACTTTTCCTATCAAATTAGTCAACTCCTTCTTAAAAGCATTTATCTAATCTTTATTAACTTTATATGTACTTCTGCCATCTACATTACTATCTCTGTACTTTTTTAATTCAATTATTATTCTAACTTCTATATTTTATCTTCATATAATAATCTATTTGTATTTAACATATTTTATAAATCTTCATTATCCCTTACTAATTAATCTACTTCTACTGCCCCTTTCTTCTATGTTAAAGCTTCCTCTAATCTCTTCACTTTTGCTTTTAATAATTCATTCTAATTCACTAATGAATCAGGTGTTTAAATATCTCTCTTACTTTTAGAAAATGAATTTGAAGCCTAAAATTCTCCATCATTCAATTTTTATAATTTGTAATCAAAAAGTTCTGTTTTTAAATTCTATATCTTTGTCATTAATCTAGAGTTTTCTATTTATTCCTCATAATTTAAGGCTAATGGATAATGAATCTTTTCAAAATCAGTTTAATATGACAAAATCAAATATCTCTTATTCACTTTTTAATTTGTTGATGATGTTCTAGATATATTACTCTAATCAGATTATTTTTATTATTTCAAATTCTCAAGATCTTGATATGTCAAAATTTCAAATAATACCTATTTAGAATATATAAAATACATTTTCATTTGTTTTTTATAATGCAGTTTATAGCATAGATAGAAATATATTGAATTTCTTTGGGTTTCCTGTCTTACGAGTAAGTTCTTCAATATAATCAATTGTATAAGTATTTTTCCAAATCTATGGCTCATATTTCGATTCCAATTCTATGTAACTATGTATAATAATAATTTAATACAGTAAATGATCACTTGCTTACATGCTGATTACGTATTCTATCCCTTAAAGAATAATGTCTGTTTCTAACTATATTTTTGGATTATCTAACATTATAATTGAAAAAAAAATAATAATACACACAAAATTTCAAAATTAGAGTTCTTGATATTTTTTTATTATGAAAGAAGGAAATAAAGTTTACTATTTTGATTATTTTTTTTGTAATAATTATGTAAATTATATGCCTTAATTTTCACCTTTCAAAAAGTCAATTAATTTTTATTTTTTTGACTTTTACTATTCCTATCTATTAGATGTCTTGAATTTTGTTGGGCTATTTTTATTAGATTAAAGTATTTATAATTCTTCATTTGTTTAATTCAGATTATCATTTGAATACTAAACAATTCTAAGATTTTTTATTTATCTAAAATGTTTTTTTATTTATTTAGTATTATTTATAATGTTTTCCTCTAACTATGCATAATTAACAGCAATTGTAGGTGTTTAATGAGGTTCAATTATGAGAGATTTCCTATTAGTAATACTGGGTAACAAAAATTATTGATTTATAATCATGTTTTTACGAACAGAATTACTGATATTATGATATGATGCAAATCTTGAACTTTCAATTGAATTTTTAAATCTATTTGTTTAATCTTTAGAAGTGTAAGGGACTAAAATAGTGTTCAAAATTTCCTTTAATTTGAAAACTGGTTTAATAGTAGGTTAAGATCTTGAATTACTTAACATAAATTTATTTATTATTATTATATTTTGTAATATAAAATGTTAAGCATCAACGGGCTGAAATGACTAGATCATCTATTTTAAGAATCATTCTAACACATTCAGTTGCCAAACTTAAAGCACTTCTAGTAACCAAAATAGGTTAAACAACTTATTGAGTTGTAATATCATCCACAATATTATTCTAAATAATGATTGTAAATATTTACTTTTTTCATTCCTATTCCTGCAAATTTTTGAGATTTAAGATGTCTATTTCTCAATTCAGTAACTACATTAATTGGATTCAATCCTAATAAGGTATAATTAGAATTTACCAGCATTTTCTGCAAGAGTATATGGAATAACTTCAAGTGCGTCAGCAAATGCTCTAACACACATAGATCTAGCACCAGTTAATGTATTAGCTTTTTAAGTTAATTTTAATGATAAATGGATTTCAGGTGCTCCTCCCCCTGGAATCAATCCTTTACTTTTAACAAGACTTCTAACAACACATAAAGCATCATGAATGCTTCTATCAGCTTCATCTAACACTAATTGATTTGATCCTCTAACTAAGATAGTTAAAGCTTTAGATTAAGCAGGTACTCCAGTAATTCTTAAAACTTTGCTCTCATCATTTAAATAGACAGTTTCAATAAGTCCTGCAGTTCCTAATTTATCTGAAGTTAATTAATCTATGTGTGCAACTGGTATCAAACATAAAGTCTATAATATAAATTAGTATCCAATAATACCTTTGATATAAATTCAACATCCTCTCTTTCAATATCTTTAACAACCATAATTCCTTTCTTAGCTAAAAAATGTAAAGATAAATCATTAACAGCATCTCTTAGAATACTTTTTTATATCAATAATACATTTGCACCTGATGCTACAATCTTTTTAACAAGATCTACAATATATTTTCTTTCTTCTTTCAAAATTTTATCCATTTCTGTATAATCTTTGATTGCAATAGAATTTTCTACATCTGTTTTAGGTGCAGATAAACAAAATTAAAGAAGAGCTACTTTGGCATTTTCAACTTTTTATGGTCCTCCAGCTGTTTAACTTGCTTTTTAATTAGAGAATACAATTCCTTCAACTAATTCAGTATCATCAATAGTGCCTCCTAATTTTTTGACAATTTTTATATCTTTAAGATCGACATTATTTGGTTTAAGAGGATCAATAATCCTTAATACCGCATCCACAGCAAGTGGAGCCAATTATGCACTATTAGATGAAACTACTTTTGATGATAATGCAGTTTAGACACATTCAATCAACTATTATTTATTATTTAAATCAACAGGTTTCTTCAATTCTTCTAAAGCTTCTAATGCATTTTCTAAAGCATATTGAAATCCCTCTGAAATTGTTGTTGGATGAATTCCCTTCTCTAAAAGTACTTCACATGATTTCAATAATGCACCAGCAAATACAACAACTGAAGTAGTACCATCTCCTGCCTCTACATCTTATGCATGTGATATTTCAACCAACTTACATAAATATTCAATTAATTACCATTTTAGCAGTCGGATGAACCAAATCCATTTATTTCAAGATTGTTGCCCCATCATTTGTGATAAGTACTTCACCTTTCGCATCTTATATCATTTTGTCCATCCCTCTTGGTCCCAAACTTGTTCTTATTGCATCAGAAACAGCTTCCCATATATCTTAAATTCTTACCCTTAGCAGCCTGAATATTTGTCAATCTAATATCCTTTGTTTTCTCAGACTTATTGAAGGTGCTTGCTTTTTATGGTTATGCTTAAGATGCCTATGCTGGTTGACTCATATTTCAAATAAATTTGTTTTATTTAATTTCTGGAAATAAATGTACATATTAATATATTGGATCAAGCCCTGTTTGGATAAAGGAATACTCTCAAAGTAGATCCGATGGCTCTTGGTGGAAGATTTCTGTTGAAACGAGCAATCACTATTCCATTTGATCCATGAGATCTGCTGATTCGACCCCAGATAGTCTAAAATCAAAAGATTATCAATTACTCTGAATTTTGTGTTGTTCTTTAGAGAGTGAGCCTTGTAAATATATGCTACTCTTTTTCCCCAATAGAATCTGCTTGATGATACATCATCGACATGTTAAATCTTTAACAATGCCTAATTCTCGTTTTATTACACTTTAGATCTTCTGAAACCTGTGAACACAGCCTTAACCCATAATCTTTTTCAAATATTCTATGTACCTAACTGGTGCTTTCTTATTAACCTTGACTTTCTTCACTGTTTTTGTTGCCCCCTTTTATTATTACTCGGCTTTCATCAATTAAAATCTTTGTTATTTTAATTTAAATAATTAAAATACTCCAAACTCATTAATTCAAAACAAAATACTTCACATAAAGTCTCAATTTACAATCACAACTAAGCATCTAATCCTAAGCCATATTTTTATAAGTAATTAAGACTCATGCATTTATATTAATCAATATTAAGTAGAATGCATTTCATTCATTTAATATTAGATTTATCTAAAATATACTGTTTGATACTTATCATGCTTTTAAGCATTAAATTTTATTACTAATAATATAATATTTGATCATAGAGTTCCTTTTGTAATTTATTAAGGATCAATATACATCTACCTCAAATTAGATGTCTATTCGATTATTAAACTCCTTAGCAATTTCAAAAGTCTGATATAAATTTTTGGAATTATAGTTTATATTTGGTATCTTGAATACTTTATTGTATTTTGGGCTGCTCCTTGGAAAAGTCTAATGCTTCCTTAGATTAAAAATAATTTTAATCAAATTTTGTTGACTAATTTTTAACTCACTGTTGGATAATATTGGAAAGAACTTATACTCAATTTAAATATAATTGATCATTAATTAAATCGGTAATCCTCAAGTCATCATTAACTATCCAGATTATCTTTAAAATTATGTTACTAAAGGGAATAATGATATTGTTGAGTATGTTGAATAAGTAAATCATGAGGTTGCACTTATCAAAGTTTAAACTCCAAATCATAAATCTAATTTCAAAAAGAAATATGTTCTATCATTTTTATATGACTTTTTCAATACAAGGATGAATTATTTTATTTATAATCTTATATATATATACAATTAATGGGAAATATAAATATTTGTTGTCCTGAACAAATTGATCATACTTATGATAAACGCATATTTCAATTCCAAAAAAAACTTCATAAACTTAACATTTAACTTATTTCATAAGTTTCATATTTAGAAATAATTATTTTTCATAAGGTTTGATCATTATGTATATAGAATGTAGTTGGAGAATTAATTGCGAATTGCAATGCACCAAGATTGTTAACAATAAGTGAAAAAGATCAAGAAACAAAATTGGAATTTTATGCAAGAATAAAATAGTAAATAGAACTTAATGAATCAAACTTTTTCAATTTACTAATATCAAATTATTTTTAACATTTCAATGAAGTTTTTGCAGATGAAGAAGTGATAGATATAATTTAACAATTCGATACTATATCTTAGATGCTTAAGATAGTAATATAATCAGGTTTTTAACAAGATTTAAAACTTTATTTTGGGAACGATCTAGATAAACTTCCAGAATAAGAATTACTTATTTAAAGAGTTCTTTAACATTATTTATTAGGTAAAACGTCTCCAATTAAGAATAAATTTAATTAAATGCTTAACTTATATTTTTAATAGATGCAATATAATGAATTAAATTAATCAAATATACCAGAGAAAGGAACAGTTTTAGAATAAAATGATTTTGAAATAGACTAAGCTTTGTTACCAATATAAGGAGGAGAAATTGTAAACATTTCTAATGATAGGTATTTATAATTTAATTATTTATTTAATTAGTTTTTTAGAGTCATCAGGAGGTTCTGTAAAACAATAATAATAATAAATAATAATTGAAATTGATAATATAATTGAGAATACTGAAAAATAATTTAAAGACCTTCCATATGCAACAACATTTGATATTTTGAATAAGATGATAAAAACTACTAAACCTTGGAAAAAGTTTCTATTAATTGAAAAATTTGATAATTTGATAACTAAGACTCTTTTAACAAATCGAGATCAAAATCAGATTTAAAATATGTAAGATATCCTTTTTGCTGAAGATTCTAGATCTGACATTTACTTATATATTTTGTAAATTTTATAAATTTATATAATAGCTATTAGTATGGATAAAAGTTCAAAATAGATTTTAAAGAACATTTATTGAATGCTCTCAAATTAATGTGGGAATTTGATGGATTACTTGGAAGTGATATCAAATATATATATTGTCCTTTCTTTCTAAGATTTACAAATGTCTTAGAAATGTATTTGAAAAGTTTGAATATATGATTTATCTATCAACAATAAAATTATTTATTCATTATACATTTCCATATAAATTAATTCTAAAATTAATTATAAAATTAAATATTATGATTCAAGCATTAACAAAAATGGATCCTATCTAATAATATTATGTCAATGATAACTATCTCAAATCTATTTCAGCAAAAGAAATTAAAACCAATACTTCCTATTCCCCTAAAGCATTAATATAAGGTTATTGGAAAAAGAATTACTAACCTTTGGTCTTTTTAAATTCATCAAATGAAGAATCAAAAATTACTTTACCTTAAATCAATACAAGATCTTATATAGCCAACGATTCTAAAAATGAAGAAAATCAAAATGATTCAACTAATAGTTTCAATCATAATATCTAATAAGATTCTATTTTATCTAAATATAAAATTAAACCAGCTTGTGCTAATTATTATTAGATGAAAAAAGAGAAATTTAGCATAAAAATACCTGGAAAAGTTATTAAAGGAAGCTTTTCCCATAATAAAAATATTTAGTTTCGCAGCACTCCTAAAAATAATAATAATAATGGTTTAAATATTGAGTAAATTACAATAAAATAACCAATATAATCTAAAGCTATAATAAAAACCTCTATTTCAAGCAATTCTTCCCTTGATAACAGTCTATCTTATCAAAAACCTATTAATGAAATCTAAAAAAATTCTAAAACTTAAATTATTAGACCTATTACATCTGTTTCAAAACCTCTTAATGAAATTTAAATTAAAAAACCCTTTATTAATACAATACTATTACAAGTTTAATTATTAAAAACAATGAACTCATCAATAAATAATGTTGTTCTTCTAGTCTTTGATGAACTATTAGGATATTGTGAATCTAGTTATTATGGGTTTCAATCAGACTTTATTTAGTCTCAACTCTATTTAGATTATTAAAGTACAAAAGAAAATTATTTTTCTAAATTGATACATAATTCTTCTATTTATGCATTGAAAAATTTAAAAGAACTTATATATGCCTTATCCAAAACATTCTAATTAATCCTTCTTACAAAACATTTGTAACATTAATTAAATGAGTATGTAAATATTAATCGATTACCTGTTGCTGCTATTTACCAAATGAAAGACATTTATTAATCTTCTATCAATTTATAAGCTCTTAATTGTATGGATATTTTAAATGATCTTGAAATTAAAAAACCAAATAATATTATCATTATTCAAACTTATGAAAATTTGCATAATAATCCTAACTAAAATATCAAAATATAAGAATAATCAATTATTTATCCTTATGGAATAGATAATGGGATAAATCATCTATATACACTCATTCTACCTAATTTAAGTATGCAAACCATTTTAAAAAATGATTTAAATCAATCAAATCATCTATTATTTCATTCTCTCTACTATATTGAATAATTTTGTCAGACTATCTTAGTTAATTGTATATTCAATCGTAAATTACTTAATCTTACTAAGTTTTAAAATTCTGAGTATATGAAACAACTTTAAAATAAAATTGAATTCAAACTTAATCAAATTGAAAATCTTAAATCAACTTAAAATTTATCAACTTAAAAATATTCAAAAAAAGAAATGATTATTAGAATTTCAGAAAAATTTGAGAATTCATAGAAATATTAAGAATTATCATCAGATATCGTATTAAGAAACAAATCAATAATAAAAAGAATCGGAAATTATAAATAAGATTCAATCAATTTACTTTTGAATGTTAAAGAACAGTTAAAATAAGAATTTGAATTACTAAATTATTGTTAAACTCTACTTGAAAATTGTTATTATATTATATTATGATATTTTATACTACGACCAAATTAATCAATTCTAAATAAATAACTTAATAAGAGTTGTTAATTTTAATAATTCTCTAAATTTTAATATCAATTTTAATTATAAAGGAATCAAAAATCTATGAGCAAATCTAAAATGTATTCTTGATTTATTAATTTTCAATTAAATTAGAATTAAATAATTTATTTATCATTAGTTAGATGAGTGGAATATCAAAATTACTTAATAATATCATTAAAACTAGCATAGTGATTTAATAATTTACAATCAAACTACCCAACTTAATTTAATTAATTTTTGGATTTCTTGCTTAGCTTTAGATGATAAGTTATTTAGAATAACCTTGTTTTTCACCTTAAAAATCTTTTACCATAATTTTATACTTTACAAGACCTCATATTTATATTTTTACTTAAGGAAATTATGAAATTTTCTTTATATCCTTTTTTCTTTTAATTCAAATACTAATTATAATTTGGATATATTACTGCATTTCCTTAAATGGAACACCATACAAAAATATAATCAATGAAATATAATTCGGTCAAATGAACTAAAATAAAACTTAGCTTATTATTTCAATTATCGCTTTATTTTTGTTTTTTAATAAAGTCTATATAGGCCATAATATAATAGAATTTTGTATGTTGCTACTTGCGTAAAAACAATAGAATCCATTTTATTTTATTATAATCAGCATCATCTTAAGTCTATAAATAAGTATAATCTTATTTATTTAATGGCAATATTTAAATAGAAGCATTAAATTTATACCATCATTGTAATATTTAACTATCAATCAATCATATACAAATATAATAAATTTGTACTTAAAATTACTTTAAATAATAAATTATACTTTTTTGGAAAATAATGAATCTGCTAAAATTGCTTAAGCATTATTAATTATCATAAATTTTATGCATAAATTTTGGTAAATTAGATTTAACAATATTCATATGAGAAATCAATATCTATTTATTATAATTATAGTAGGCAGCCTTGGTTCATTAATGGCATTTTTATAATTATTGGAATTAATTTTTACTCCTCGTTTTACTATAAGATTATGGATTCCGTTAGCACCAATTAGTTTGTTTATTATCAAAAATTTATTAGATAGAAATCTCCATTAAATGATGATCAAAAATAATTTCGATGAATTAAAAATTAGTGAATTGAAATACATTTCATGCATTATTTAAAACGGTATAGATACTAAATAGCTTTACAATTAAATCNGTTAGATGAGTGGAATATCAAAATTACTTAATAATATCATTAAAACTAGCATAGTGATTTAATAATTTACAATCAAACTACCCAACTTAATTTAATTAATTTTTGGATTTCTTGCTTAGCTTTAGATGATAAGTTATTTAGAATAACCTTGTTTTTCACCTTAAAAATCTTTTACCATAATTTTATACTTTACAAGACCTCATATTTATATTTTTACTTAAGGAAATTATGAAATTTTCTTTATATCCTTTTTTCTTTTAATTCAAATACTAATTATAATTTGGATATATTACTGCATTTCCTTAAATGGAACACCATACAAAAATATAATCAATGAAATATAATTCGGTCAAATGAACTAAAATAAAACTTAGCTTATTATTTCAATTATCGCTTTATTTTTGTTTTTTAATAAAGTCTATATAGGCCATAATATAATAGAATTTTGTATGTTGCTACTTGCGTAAAAACAATAGAATCCATTTTATTTTATTATAATCAGCATCATCTTAAGTCTATAAATAAGTATAATCTTATTTATTTAATGGCAATATTTAAATAGAAGCATTAAATTTATACCATCATTGTAATATTTAACTATCAATCAATCATATACAAATATAATAAATTTGTACTTAAAATTACTTTAAATAATAAATTATACTTTTTTGGAAAATAATGAATCTGCTAAAATTGCTTAAGCATTATTAATTATCATAAATTTTATGCATAAATTTTGGTAAATTAGATTTAACAATATTCATATGAGAAATCAATATCTATTTATTATAATTATAGTAGGCAGCCTTGGTTCATTAATGGCATTTTTATAATTATTGGAATTAATTTTTACTCCTCGTTTTACTATAAGATTATGGATTCCGTTAGCACCAATTAGTTTGTTTATTATCAAAAATTTATTAGATAGAAATCTCCATTAAATGATGATCAAAAATAATTTCGATGAATTAAAAATTAGTGAATTGAAATACATTTCATGCATTATTTAAAACGGTATAGATACTAAATAGCTTTACAATTAAATCTTTCTTTTTTAATATATTTAAAATTTTTGTTAGAAAAATGAAATCTCATTTTCCTAAGAATAACAATTTTCTTAAAAAATGATTGAAATAATAAAATTTCATATACTTCAATAAATGTTAAGATAATTAGAAAAACTATCAGAAAGAATCAAAAACCCTTTTTATTTAGTTTAGATTTACATAAATTATATTTAAACATTAATTATTTTAAATAAGTATGTTGAAGCCCAACATATTATTGAATAATTGTTTAGATATAAAAGCAATATTCCTACATTTTAGAGTTCAAGAACATGTAAATTAATAATAAGATCTGAACTTGGAGATTCATAATAAACATTTTTAAAAATATTAGAATATAAAATAATAGCAATGATGTAAACTAAAATGGTTCAGTAAATATCTAAATCAAAATCAAATTAATAAACAATTTCTTTAGCTATGAGATAATTATCTATTATTAATTCAAATACTCTTGATGTTTAATCAATGTTTATAAATGTATCAATTTTAAAAGTAGAATTCTTTTAATTTATAATAAATGATAAAATCTAATAGAATTAATTTAATCGTAAGGTTTAAAAGATTCTAAGAGAAATGGAGAATTTTCTTTAAAAATTAAAATAAAACTACAATTTATTTCCAAGTATTTGTAATATTAATTAATAGCAATATCAAATTAGAGTATTTTGATGATATATTAAGTTGAAATTTTGAATAATGTTTTAGATGCATATAATTTAAGTTAGACAATAGCACTTGATGAAGATATTATATTAAAACATAATCAATCTGAATTATTTAACTTTTTTAATTAAAGTTTTAATTTTATCTTATTCAAGATAATTGATGTATAAAACATTATCATTGAATATCATTCAATAACATAGGGTTAAAATTTCACAATTAAAGAAGGTGATTAATTATCAAACTTAATACCAGTGTCATTAAAATACTAACATTAGTTACTAATTGAAATCTTTTTAGAAACAGGAAAAAATAGATTTTTTTAACAGATTGATGAAACCTATATTAAGATACGATAAGGTATTATATAACCAATTGATATTTGTATGGATTTGAATCATCAGAATTCATAAAATATAGAAATTACTACAGTATATAGATTACCTTAAAGTGATAAACATATGATATTTGTAGATTCTAATTTTCGACTTTAAGAAATTAGTCATAATTTATTTTATTGTGGTTTAAATCTATCTGAAAGTTATTTAGATCATATTATAGGTATACATATAAATAAAGTAATTCCATAATTCAAAAAATATATTGATGATAACAATTATGATATAAAGATTTGTCCAATAAATTTTATAAATAGTCAAGAAGATATTGAATAAAGAGGAAAATCAAGAACATTTAATTGTCTTGAAGAAATTGAAAATATCTCATTATATTCATGTCATTTGTTGATTTCTAAAAGATTTTTTTAAGAAAATCAATATATATTTGTTTTAAGAATTGATAACTTAAAACTAGATAAAGTTAGTTCTTGTACATAATTTAAATTCATGCAAAATTCTGAACCTATCTAAGATATTGATGAATAAATTGAAATTAATTTACCAGATCCTGAAGAAGAATTTTAAAAGCAATAAATTATTTTAAATACTGAACGTCAATAAGAATTTTAAATAGATTTATTATAAGATAAAAATGATTTTTAGATTATATAAGAAAAAAAATAGACTGAAACTTCTTTTCTTCGTCTTAGTAATAAATAAAATTAAAAATTAGAAGATTTTACAAATCTATCTAGTATTGCTAAAATAAAGAGATCTCCCTATTATTAAAAATTTAAATAAGTTTCCTTTATCCTTAATTCATAAAATCAATCTAAAAATTAGATTACATTTAATATTCTTTATTTAATATATATACTTGTAATACTTATTTTTTCAATAACAATTTTAGATGAAACTTATTATTTTAGAAAATTGATATCTCATTTAGATTTACTATCAATCAAGAATGAAATTTATTTACCAATTAACTCTTTTTTAGTCACAAGATATACTATTGTAACATATAATTCATTACTAAGTCTTTAAGCAATAGATGAAATTGAATATCAATAATTGATTAAATTTCCTAAATCAAATTTATTATCAGGATATGACCTTCTAAAAAAGAGTATTACTAAAGTATTATCCATAACTGAATTTCAACCATTCTTATAAGAGAATTATTTAACACTCTCTTTATACGTAAAGAATAACACTGGAATAAATTATAATATTAGCTTTAGAGAATCAATTCATTTTCTATTAAATTATTAATATGAATATAAATTAGCTTATACAGTTAAACCTTTATAAACAGATGGGCCTTATTTTTATTATTCTTATAAGAATTTTCTAACATTATATAAAAAGTTTGTTGATCTTGAACAATTTACTTTAGAATAAACATTAATGTATTCAAATGAAAAGATGAATATTATAAGGCTTTACATTACATTATTTGGAATTATATCTTTTATTTTGATATTTCTAAAAATCTATCATTTAAAGAAAATTAGAAATAATAAAAATAAAATATTGACTATATTAAAAAATTAAGATTTACATTAGGTTGAATTGGAAATAATAAGATTGAAATAAATAATTTAAAAAATGTAAAATGATAAATAAATAATCTATGGATATTCTATTGATTTAGATAATATTGACAAATCTATGAAAATAAAATAATAAAATTTTAAATAACGTTAAATTAACAACAAAAAATAAATGGACTTAAATATATTTAGAAAATCATTGATAATTATATTGCATTATCTATTGTATTTTTCTTTAAGTATAAGTTTTTATTTGATTTCACATAATGAGATAATTTATTATTAAAATGTGGCAAAATTTTACTAAAAAATATCAGATGCTAGTGTAAATGTTTTAGTGTTATATGCTTGGAAAGAAGCATTATATTTTAAAGCTACATTTACATTTTTTACAGCTTCTGAAATAAAAGATCTATATTAGCATGTAGAATAGAGTTTAGATGGTTTAAAAGAATTCAATTTAAATTTGCTTTAATTTGATTAAATTGATAATTTATTTGGATCATCTAATTAAATAATAGAAAAAATAAATTAAATATCTGTTTGTGATAATTTAAGTGAAGTATAAATTTCATAATATTATTATTATAGGATTATAAGATTAAAGCATAAGAGATTTGTAATAAGGTTATGTAGGGAGTATTAAAAGGAGGTCTAGCTAATGCATTAAATTATGTGATCAATAGTATCTCTAATGAATATGCATTCACTCATTTTGATAATAGATTAACATTAGAAAAGTTAGAATTAGAAGGTTCCACTTTATTATCAGATGTTCTCTCTAAATTTTCTGAAATTATAAAGAATTAAATTTAATTCTAAACAAGCGAATTATAATTTATTGTTTATGTAAATTATTAATAAATCCTAGATAACTGTATCATTGTATTTACTATTTGAAATTGGAAGTATATATTGTTTAAGATTGTTATCTAAATCAGAATTAAATAAAATGATTCTTTTATAAAAATTCATTTATTTAATTCCTTAAGGAACATTATATTTTGATGAATAATTTTAGAGAGAAATAAAAAGATTGATATTGAATGGTTAGATTGCTTGAAATTAAATTAAATATATGATTAATAAATCATAAGAATATTTTTTAAATTTCTTGATTAAATTATAAAACATAATGAGTATTTTTTAATTCTTCCATTTCATTTTAAATTGCTTAAAAATCTTAAGGTTTTTAACTTTTTACATTAATCTTATTTTTCTTTAGATTAAACTAAAGCAGAGAAAACAAGTGCTTTAATTACTACATTGAATTTTTGATTGTAGTATTCTATTGTTTATTTGATTTATTAATATGATAAGAAGTGGGTTTTTATTTGAATTTAGTAATAAATCATTATTCACAATTTTATATCTAAATATATTTTATTAATTATGATTTATTTATAACATAAAGCAAAAATAAATATTTATTACTTAATATAATTGATTTCATTAATGATCATTAAGATTAAGTATAATAATCAGCTACAACTCTATAAAGCTATGTAAATTGTTTTGATTTTGAAATAGATCCTTTTCGAGTTTTTAATTAAGATTATTTCCTCTAATCTTAATTCTCTCCATCTCCCTATAATTCAGATTCAGAAATTGTTTTAAAATTAATAAACTGTTGCTCTCCTCCCTAATATGTTAACTACATAAATTAAGTTGGAAATTATCCAGTCTCCTAAAATGATGTATCTACATTTCCTTAATTATTCTAATTTTTAGGATAATTTTATTATTAGATTAAATTACCATCTGATTAATAAGATTAATTTTATTGTAATGATTTATAATTTTAAGCTGTTTCTGATTTTTACATACTTCTACTTGGTCTCTTTTGAGATGATTTAATTGTTTTATTTCTTGATGATTAATTTGAAACTATATCATTATTACTCTTTGTTAATATTTGTGGTAAAATTTCGATAGTTTCTTATTATTTAAATTATGGAAGAGGTTTAATTGGTTTAAATCCAAATTAATTAGGTTTTTATTTTGCTTAATTTTATGTCTAAAGTACACCTTAGGACTTCTATTATTAGTTTTACTATTTTTAAAATCCATAATTTTATAATTATTAAGTTGAAGATGATTAATTTCTGACACCATCTACTATAGAATTTAACAAATTCTCTAAAGTACTATCATTTTGTAACTAATGTTCTATTATCTCTTAAATACTATTATCATTTTCAATTGAATCAATTATTGTAATTAAATTTGAATTACCTTATTGTTATTATTATTATTATTATCTTTTCAATTTTATTTTTTAAATTAACTTTTTTTATATTATATCTTAAATATTCTAACTTAATATTGTAGATTTATCAGGTTAATCACTTTATTCCTCTTTTTAAATTACATAATTATTAAACTTTTAAGATTCTAACATTAATTTTTCTTCAATTATTTTCATATCTTAATCCTTATTCATTAAATTTATTTCTTATCTTTTCAATTTCTCATCTTAATCAGCCATTATCTAAGCCTATTTACTTATAGTAAATTATTTAATAACTAAATCTTCTTCAAATTCTTTTCTTTATTTTACTAAACTCTAAATATTTTATTAATAAAAGATCATCTATTCATCATAATCAAATTTCATATCTTCAAATTCTCTTTAAGCTTATGAATAATCTCCTTTTACTTAATCTAATTCCTTTTAAATCTCTCTTATTATTAATTATTATTTCTTTATTTTATCTGAAAATCCTTAATTCTAATTTGTTATCCAATTCAATTCTTAATTAATTCTTGCATTATCTTTCTCCAATTTTCTTATTTTACTCCCTTAATCAATTATCTATCTAGCTTATTCCTCTTTCTTTAATAAATATTCTTAATACTATCTAACATATTAATAAAATTTTACTTAGTTTAATTTTCTAATTCAAATTTTAATTATGTTTCATTTTATTCCAATTTATAAATTGTTATATCTTAATTTTATATTTTTTATTTTAATTCTTCATTCTAAACTTATTGTGATAAAACCTCTTTCTAATATTATTCCTACATCACTTAATGTGATTACTTCAAATCTTTGTATAATAATTACAATTCATCATTTTAAATTGATTTCTAAAGTAATAATTAATTTAAATTATCTAATTTTTATTAATTCTATCTAGATGTTACTTCAACTTATTATGATAGATTTTATATTGTTTACTATTATAATTTTATTAAAATATCTTACAAATTAAGAGTGAATTCTATCATTTAAAATTTTTTCATTCTATTCCATCTTATTAATACAATTTGTCAATCTCTCTACATATTAACTTAATGTTGAATTATTAACAATCTAAAAACTATTAGCATTTTCTAGGTTTTCCACTTTCTTAACATTAATATCTAAATTTCCTTTTGTTATCTCTTAAGCTACTAATAAAGAATTGAATTAATGTTTCAACTAAAATTACTTAATTAAATACATTACTCAATTTTTATTTCTTATTGAAATACTTATCTTACAATTCTTAATTAGACTTCTTTAACTTACTCAAACTATCTTCAAGTAATTTAATTTAATTTAATAAATCTTAAGATTTCTATTAAATATACATATCTATTTATTATTAATAAACCATTATTCTATTTCTAAGTTCTTAATTTTCCTACCTCAATTTTTCTTCCTCTTATTATTGTAATTCATCATCTCTTTATTTTAATTATAAAAAAGGATTAGTAACAAAAGTTGTCGCTTAGTGTTATTACTTAATAATTTAATTCTATAATTTAGATATTAATTCATCTGAATTTTTCAACAATTAGTTTTTTAATGATACAGTAGATGTGTAATCAATAATACTAATTTTTAATAAATTATTTTCTTCATTTAACTTTTCTATCCTCTTTAAAAAGTTCTATCTTTCCTCCAACAAATCTTCATTTTAGTTCTATTTTTATTTCAACTGTTTATTTAGATATTATAATTCATCCAAAAGTAACTATTATTTACACACTAATTCACTAAACTATTATCTAATTAATCCTGTTTTATTTTCAAGTCTAAATCTTTTCTCTAATTCTCTCTCTGCAGCATCATCAGCCAATAAATATCTATTATTTAAAATATCTAATTAATTTTTCAAGTTTTATTCTATCTTATTATGGTTTTATATTTATTCCTCCTATTTCTCTGATTATTCCAATAATTTATTCTATAAATCTTAATTTTAGATTCCAATAACCTCGTTATCCTTAATTACTTGTTTTACTTCTTTAAAATGCTATTCAATCAATTACTATATTATCATCTAATAATCAGAGCTATTATATCTCTCTAACAAAATTAAAAACACCTTCCAGATTAAACCTTTTACTAATAAAATATCCTCTCCAATACATTAATTTAAAAGTTCATTGAATCCTTTTGAATATACATATAATCCTTTGTAAATGCGATCTATTGTATCTTTTTTTAATCCTCTCCCCTTAAATTTAATTATTTATATACCATCAATTAATGTCTACTAATTCCAACTTCTTCCATTGTTTTAAATCTAACATCCATAGCTAAAGTATCAATAATCCATTGTTCAGCTGCCTTGTTTATATTTGTAGTTTAAGCACGTGAAAAATTTTATTGTCTTTTAATATCTGTAGACATATACTGTTAATTATATAAAGTATATATTATAATATTATAAATATCAACTAATTAAGATTACATTTCAGCATTTTATTATTACAATTTTTATTCACATCTAAACATACTAATCTTTATATTGAGATAAACCTTTTTTAATTTATTTCATCTTTTATTCCTATTAGACATCTATAAAAACTACTCAGGAATTATAAAAATATATAGCATTCATTCTATTTATTTAATTAAAAGTCTGATTATAGTCTATTAATTTAACAAATTATATTGCTTTTAATTAAACTTTTGTAAAACCGTTGTGAAAATCTATAATTTTTTAAAGATAATATATCCCTCGAAAATAATTAAATAATTTGATAATAAAACATAATCTATATATAATTTAATTATTTTGAATACTTTTTATAATTTTTTAGAGATTATTTTTCTACAATTCAAATTTGCATTTAATGATTGAATCATCTTTTGTTAAAGTAATTTATTTTGTTTTCCTTATATTATTAGGAAATAGACGTTTTAGCAATTAGGGTAATAGAATTATAAATATAGATATATCAATATGTAATTTATAATTAATATAAATAAATAATGTTAATAAAACATAATAATAAATTTATTCAATATGTAAAAAGTATTTATTGATTATTGAGGCATTTATTATTTTATCTTTATAATTATTTATATGTAATAAAGTAAGTTCAGAACAGTGTCACCAATGTAATGCTAATATATTTCAACTCCTTCAAATTGTTCTATTGGCGGGGCTTTCAAAAGAAGTAAAAACTTAAAAACTCAATCACCTCATTCTTCAAAAAATAAGGAGAGCTTTGCCAATTTACCTTAAGGTGAAACTGATAAAAATAGATGTAAAGAAATTGGAATTGAAGTAGCAAAATTTTTATAATAAATCAATAAAAATGAAAGCAACTTTCCTTCAATGTATTCCTCTATTGTTGGAATTGATAACAAAATTTATGATGATAGTTAAGTAGAATCATAATTCAAATTATAGTAATAGAATTAATCCTTGTAAAAATAATAGGATATTAAACAATAAGAAATTGAACAATGGAAATTAAAATATGAATTAACAGCTAAGTAATTAAATGAGATGAGAAGTAAATATGAAGAAGATATAAATATATTAAGTTAGGAAATTCAAGCAGTTAATAATCGAATTACGTCATGTGAATAATAAAGAAACTATAGTTTTTTTGAGTAGAAACCTACAGGTGATAATTTGACTAATTTGAGTATTTAGACATTTTAAAGATCATTAAATGAGAATGAAGATTAGATTGAATAAAATAAACTATTAGATGAAATTTCAGAAAAAAATTCGATCATCAAAAATTTGACTTTTGCATTAGAAAAAACAAAAATGGAAGTCTCTGAAGCTTAAATTAGATCTAATGGAGAAATAGAACAATTAAAAAATAAAATTAGTTAGATTTAGTTAGAAAATCAAAGTTAAATTTAATAATAAAAGATGAAAATGGAGTTTTATTAAGATTCACAAATTTCAAATATCAAAATAGCCTATAATAATTAGATAGAAATTTTAAAAGAAGAAATCACTTAATTAAAATGTTTGATTGAAATTAAAAATCAATAGATATAGACTATAAATACTGAAAATGAAAGATTAAGAAACTTAATTGATCAAAATAATATTTTACTTAAATAAGAAAATGATACTTTGAAGCTGCAACAAATAAAAAAAGATTAATAACATTTGGAAGATGTCAATTAAATCAAGAATGATAATTATTCTATATAAAAAAATGAGATAGATTTGATTAAATAAAATTCCTAACAATAAATATCTATTTTAGAGAGTGAAATAAAAAATTTAAAGGAATTTCTATCAACTAATAATTCTGAATAATAGTAATTAATATTGGATAGATTAATATAGGGAGAATAATACGAATTAGAAAATTAAAAATTGAAAAACATAATTGAAGATCAAAAATAAAGTTTTTTATGCTAAAAATAAAAATTAGAAAAGGAATAAATGAAGTAAATCTAAGAAATTTAATTTAAATGCCAAATTTTACTTGAAGAGACAAATTAGAAGATGGATTAAATAAACAGTGAGAATTTATTTTTAAAAAATTAAATTATACAAAAAGATAATGAGATTAATACTTTTGAGAATATATACAATAAGTTAAATAATTATGAAGAAAATCTCTTAAAATTAGAGGAAGAAAATTCTCATATTTTGCTTCATTATGAATAATAAGATAGATAAAAATACAAAGAAAAGGAATAATAAATATATTAATTATAAAGAAATTTTGAAAGTTAATTGAAATAATATGATTTTTAGTTACAAAATCTAATTAATGAAAAATTACAATATATGCAAATCTTAGAGATAAAAAATTAGGAATGTATTGATTTAACTTTGGAAGTGAAAAACTTACAATTGTAGCAATAGAATATAAGAATTGATAATGAATTATTATACAGTAAACTAATATCATTATGTAACACATACGAGTCTAATAGAATATTGAATGATCCATCCAATAATTCAATATAATTTAAAAGAATGTCAGAATAGATAACTTTATTGCAGAATGAATTAATGATTAAGAACAAAGAATTAACTAATATCATAGATAAGTATTAATAAATAGAGTAGATGGTATGCAAAGGTCAGATAAAACAAAATGATTAAAATTTAAATGATTTAATAAGAAAATAAAAAAGATAAAGTAGTCAAGTATTGAACTTATGATTAATTACTTAGATAAAATATTTTTATTAATTATTAATGATTTAAAAATGAATAAGATTCATTAAATGAAAATTGAATTGATATCATTGAATTAAATTGATTTCTATTAATTCTTGCTGAGAACCATAAACTTGAAAGCCTGAATTAATTATATTTCAATACTTTGATTATGTTGTAATGGTTATTATTACATTTTGTGAATTTCTAGATTACTTTTTTATTGACCTTATTCAACCTTTTCTGGAATAATAATTGGTTATCCTCCTCTACGATAAGTTGGTTTTAATCCTTGAACTTCAAATACAATGGCTAAATTTTGTTATTCCAAAAGCTTTAGTTTACTATCATTCATATATCGATGTGATCGATTTTCTATATGAGGAAATAGAAAATACATGAGGATTGTAAAATAAGAACAAAATCTCTAACAATTGTGTAGAAATAATATTCAATTAAATTCCAAATAATAGAAGTAATGATAAGAGCAACAAATATGTCAAGTACACAGTACTGTTTTCTTGCTTCTTTTTAATCCTAAATATTAGAGTTATTACATCTTTAAAAATGAGTGTACAATTAATAATTGGAACAATTAGTCTGTCAATGATATTGAAACAAATGCTTAAGACTTTCAATTTTCTATATATAAAGATGGGTTTTTTGTTTTGTTATTTTAATGCTCGCATATTAATGTAAAGGGCAATTGAAGATTGAAATACAATGATGATAATATCCATGATGGATATAATGAGAGAGAGGGAAGATTATTTTTAAAACAGGAAGGCACATGCTAGAGTTCCTAGAAATAATAAAGATAGTAGGTTAAACCCCATATGATTCTACTAATATCTAGATAGATAATAAAAAGAAATGCTTTTTGAGTAGGTAAACAACAACATTTTTGTTGCATAAATGTTTTTACAAATATTATAATAATAATAATATCTAATGCTTTGATATATTTTATTTTTTAGGAATAGATCATGCTCCTTTGAGTTATGATTTGACATAGTCTTGGAATCTTGGTTGGTTGAGCAAATCTAAAGCTTAATTGGCAGCATTAATTTCCTTATTGTATTCAGCAACGGTGGCATTATAAACATCGGTGGCAAAGGCATAATCATCGTTTTCAGCTTATAATTATCCATTAAGGGTAGCCAAATCAGCATCAAGTTCATCAATTAATTCAAGAGTTTATTCTTATTTGGCTATAAATAGTTAGAATGGAAATAGATACTTGTATTAGCTTCGATTTCAGCATTCTTAACAACAACAGCTCTTTAGAATTCAGCATGTTCTTAGTTCAATTAGATAACTTAAGCATTGAATTCGGCAACTTAATCAGCTTCATCAGCAGTAATTTAATTGAGTGAATCAACTAATTCATTTCTCAAGTTATTGAAAGCAACAACAATCTATTTGATTATATGATTATAATCATTACATCTCTAAGAGCACCTTAGTCAGCAAAGTTGGAGTCAACTGTGATTTCTAATAAAACTTTAACAAAGATTTGGAATTAGTTGTGCTTTTTCAAAGAGTTTTAGATTTTAGCCAAATTCTTTTAGACCTTCTTGATTTAAGCAAGAGATGGTTCTGTTATTGTGCTCAACAATTATAAGCATTCATCAATAGCAGAGATAGCATCATTATGTTCAACAACTTAAGCTTCAAATGTTTCATGATCATTGGCTCTTTAGACTGTAGCTTATTCAAGTGTTCTTCTGTTATTAGCAATGTTTTCTTATAATTATTCAAGTTAGGCAGCAAATCTTTCTCCTTATGGGATGAGGACATTATCAAAGAAATCGTGGGCATTGAACAATTCTAATAAAATATTAAAACATATACAAAGTACCTCTTTCTTTATCTTAGATTTCTTATTCAAGTCTGGCAACTTCTCTGTTATGAACATCTGTTCTTCTGTTGAATTCATGATGAACTCCGGCTAATTCCTCTTCCAATTCACCAATCTATTAACATAATAACTCATTATATATACGAGTTTCTCAATCTCAGAATTGAGTTCAGATAAGATACCACCTGTTGTCAAATGGAGTTCAGCAAAGTTCAAGATGAATTTACCCCAACCAGATTAATGAATCTAAGCAAAAGCTTTTTAGTCTTTGCTTGTCCAAATTGAGGATTAGACATTAATGGCTGTTGAGGCTAACACTAACAATGCACACACGGCAACTTTGAACATTTATTGTTATTAATAATGAATTCCTTCTAAGCATTATTTTGCTAAAAAAAGGCAAAAACGAATTTTTCTTTTTATATATTAATTAATATGTATTTCATACACTTTTTTTATTTTCTTATATTTCACTACTTAAACAATCTACAAATATACACAAATATTATATATAATCATGTCTATTCATTCATAATAGTCACAATTATCGTATTTTCTCTATTACTTTTTCATATCCATCTTTATCAATACATTAAATTCTCTATATTCTATTCTGATTACTCTATTCTTCAAACTATTAAACTTATTATCTAATTATATTTACATATCCACTTAGACTATTACCATTTCCACTAACATAAATACCAATCCCATTTATTATCCCATCTATGAATTCACCTTCATAATAACTTTGATCATTCCATATAAATATTCCCTTTCCATTCATCTTATTCTTATCCATCTCTCCTTCATATCTATAAATCATATATTTCATTATTTACTTGCATCCATCTTTATAATATATAATCCCTCTTCCACTTTTCTATCCATCCTTAAATTATCCATAGTATCTTACACCATCCCTTCTCATCTCTTAACCTTCTCCATTCAGTACATTATTCATCCATAAACCTTTCATCATTTTAATCTATTTACCTTTTACCACTTTACTCTTACTTTAAAATACTCCAAAACCATTTGCCTTCCCTAATTTAAAATCACATTCAAAACTATTCAATCAATTATCTCTTTACATATCTCCATTCTAGTAAATCATCCTACTAAATCCATTTAACTCGTTATTCACCCAAATTCTATTTTTATAATTTATAAACTTTTACCCATCAAGTATATTTCCTATTTCAAACCATACCAGTATTCCTGTACCACTTTTTTACTCATTCTCCATTACTCCAAAATAACAACTTCCATCATCGAAATTTCGAATCTCATATTTTTCATTTATTTCATAAACAGGACCCAAGTCCTGATACAATTATCTTATTTTTTTCGATTACATTTTCTTTAAGACCTCTTAATACCTTATATCGACTTATGGACTATTTGCAAGTGATTAAGAAATTTCATCATTCGCTTAATAAGTATTAAATAAGATGAAATACTGTCATTTGAGAGGTTATTAGACATTTTGTTGATTTGAGTAAACAATTCTTGATTTTGCATAGAATTAGATTGGTCAATTTTGAAGAATTAAATATTGAAAATTCATCCAATTAGGAATTATTCAAATATTAAGAACTTTCAGTTTCCATTAATTTAATATCGACAGGAAATGTCACACATAATTATTTGTTGTACATTCTATACATATTTACTTAAAGAAGATAAATTGACAATATGATAAATTAATAATTTTGAACTAATTTAAATAATTATTTTATATCATTTCCTTTTCCAAATTTAAGGGAACCAATTGTTATTTTCTTACAAAAGACTATTAACTCCATTCAATTTCAAATTTAATTTATCCATCTCACTCTTACATTCATTTACAATAGTCCACATCACAGCATCCTTTTCTAATTTTACTTTAGTAGTTACCTTTCTATTTTTAATTGCTTTACTCTACTATCTATTTAAATTAATGAAATTTTGTTTCAACAAAATCTCGACTTTATGTTTCAACGCCTAATTTATTAGGAAATTCATTACTTAATCGTATCTAATCATGCATTCTTTTTTCAATTGATTTCACATCAATATCGAATAAATTTTTTCTTAAATTCTCTTTTAAATCCTTCCTTAATTATATTAATATAAATTTTAGATTACTATTAATCCAAGAGCATATCTATTAATGAATCATGAGATTGGGTTTTCTGATTCACCTCCTCTTTTAAATTTTTGATTTTATTTTTCAGATTTTTAATTTAATCTTCAAAGAGAAATTAATCATTAAAATCAGTAAATGAACTATTTTTTGATAATACTAGTGTTTATTTAATGGTACTCTCCTAACTTCCAATTATAAACTATTTTGACTTCAATTAATATAATTCATTCTATATATGGAGAAGTTGATTTTGAAACTAGAAATTATATATTGAATAATGAACGTCAAACAAATGCCTTTGAATCAAATGGTCAACAATTTATTAAATTTATTTTGACAATTCTTCCATTAAAGCACTCTTTGAAAATTCCTTTTCTAGTATTTCTTAAGTAAAATCGCGCTATTCTTCATTCATTGAAATAGAGGATCTTTATCGATGATAAGACTTTGATTTTTTCATGTACTAATATTTTGAATAGTGAAATTTACATTGTCTACTAATTTTTCAACATTGTTTTGTAGTTCTTATTCATTTACACTCATTAATATTTATATATAATATAAAAGACATCTTAGATAAACATAATTTATAAAAAATTTCATAATTTAATCAGTTGGATGGCTCGCTACGCTAAAAAACCAATTAATAAATTTACACAACCAACAGATGCTAATAGAAGAGTATAAACAGAAGCAGCTGATATAGATGATATAGATCTCTAATAAGCAATATTAAAATTCAAAAATTTATAAGAGAAACAAAAAACTCCATTAAAAAATTAAAGAACTAAAAGTAAATCACCAGCTCCATAATAAGGCAATTAACCTATAGATTATTCATAATTTACATTTACAAGCTTAAAAGTGATTGGACAAGGATCTTTTGGAATAGTTTACAAAGCAAAAGTAAATGAAACAGGAGAAATAGTTGCAGTCAAAAAAGTGATCTAAGATAAGAGATATAAAAATAGAGAAATTCAAATTCTTCAAGAATTGGACCATCCAAATATTGTTGAAACAAAACATGCATATTTTACATATGGAGATTCTCCTGATGAATAATATCTGAATGTTATTATGGATTATTAGCCTGAAACTCTTCATTCATATAATGCCTAATTTTTAAAATAACAATAATTATTACCAGAAATATAAGCTAAATTATACTCATATTAGTTATTACGTGGCATAGCCTATGTCCATACAAGAGGTATTTGTCATAGAGATATTAAACCTCATAATGTTTTGATTAATCCGGATTCAAACGTACTAAAAATCTGTGATTTTGGAAGCGCTAAAAAGTTATCACCATAAGAACCTAATATTGCTTATATTTGTTCAAGATGTTACAGAGCACCTGAATTATTATTTGGGGCAACTAATTATACAACTTAAGTTGATATGTGGTCAATTGGTTGTATCATAGGGGAAATGTTTAATGGGTTACCTTTATTTTTAGGAGCATCAGCAGTAGATTAATTAGTTGAAATTATAAAAATACTTGGATCTCCTAATAAGGAGGAAGTTCTATCAATGAATGAATTGTATGATATCAAACAATATAAAATTGTTTAAATTAGAAAAAAAGACTGGAAAAAAGTATTTCAAACAGTAGTCGATCCTGCTGCTATTGATTTAATTAGTAAAATACTTTCTTACTGCCCAAAAACTAGATTGACTGCATTACAAGCATTAACACATTCATATTTTGATGATCTTAGGGATGAATCCACTTTCAAAATGTATCAATCCAAAATTTAAATTCCTGATTTATTTGATTTCACAAAAGAAGAACTTTCAAATAATCAATCACTGGCTAATAAATTAATACCTAAATGGTATTAAAAAAGAAATAAATGTTGATTATTTTTTTAAATTATATTAAAAAATAATCTTCATACTCTTATTTATTCAAATCATTTGAGATAAAATTTTATAAATTATATAATTTCAAATTTGAGAAATATTTTTCATTTTTGGTAAATGTGTTGTCTCTGAATTCCCTCTTCTTTCTCTTGTTCTTTTAACCACAATTCCAACTGTTGACAAAATATCTCTATTATATATTTAAAAAGCATTACTTTACTTTAGCCTTACTTCCTTTCAGTTTTGTAGTATTACCCTAAGTAGAGGGTACTTCTTTTCCCCAAGATGTATTTTTATATAATGATATATTATATTGATCAGTAGGAGATTTTATCATTTGTATATCTTTGTTATTATTATTATTTTGTTTAATAATAGGTATTGGATGTTATTCCTTATCTTCAAAAATAACTTAGGCCACCTATTCATAAATTTACATCGAGTTTATCCTAAAGAGAGATATAGGTAAATAGTTATTACTTTATATTCCCATCACTTGTAACACTTGGTTAACTTAATCTACGAATTCTATTGAGAATTTATTTTTTATCATGATCATTAGTAAAATCTTTAATTTAAGCATCTTCTGCTTTAACTTATTATATTGATGATTAATTATGAGAAGCATTAATTTGTTATGTCAAAGATAGATATTCATTTCTAACCATTCTTAAAGCAGGATCATTCATTTTATCTAAATTAATTGGCTAATCCTTTGGTCCTTCTCTAACTCTTCCTTCTTAAATTATAAGAACTCCTTATTGTAAATGCATATTTTCATTAACAAGTGGAGCTAGAGATTAAAATTTAACTTGATCTTTAGGATCTCTGTCTTTTTCATCTTCTTATTTCTTTTTAACTTAAGAACCTGAATTTTAAATAAAAGTTTTTCTTTTATTAAACATATTTATTTTAGTTTAACCATCTTCAAATTTGGATCTCTCAATTATTAATTTTAATACCCTAATGTTGCAGTAGTTGGTGGAAACTTATGGCCTTTTAAAGTTATAACAGAAATTAGTTTCCCATCATAATCATAAGTATACATCTTTGATTTTTTATCTTTGGATATCAGATCATATTTCAATTATTGTTCTTCCATTTCTTTTTACTTCCTTTTTCTTTCTTATTCTTTCAATTCTTATTTAATTTTATAATCTCTTTCCTTTTAAGCCCTTAATAACTCCTCTGTCAAACTTATATCTAAAGGATCATTGAGATCAACAATTCCAGGTAATTTTTCTTTATCTCTTACATTTTTTTAATTATTCAATTATGCTTAATCCTAATATATAGGAATAATTTTAGAATACTTAAATCAAGACTCTAGATCTCATAAAAGTTTAGGCTGTTAAAGATTAGCGATTAGAATTTGTACTTTATTATTCTACTTCTAATATCCTTCCAGGTATTAGACTAACTTTTTATACCAACCATTACTCCTGTTGAAATCTAACCTATCAATTAGAAACTTTGAATACAGGTTCTTCATCTTCCTCTAATCCTCCAGTTAAATTATCATACGTTGGATCTTCATGTTATCGAAAGTATTATTGAATAGGATGTGTCATTCTATCTATTGATGATTAGTAACCAATTATTGGTAACATTTTAATTTGTTCATTTTCATTGATTTTTTTTGAGACTATGGCAATCAACTTTTTAATAAAATCTCGAATAAAAAGCTCACCTTCAACTTAGTTAGATTATGATTGAATTGGATCAAAGGGTAAGTAAAATGAATGAAAATTGAGTTTGTCCATATCAACTTCAACCAACTCACTATCAGACTGAGTATTCAATTTCTCAGTAGGATAGGAACGAATTGATGATAATTCCCCATATGAACTTCTTTATAATTAACTTTTCATATAAATATTTTAACAGATTAATTCATTGAATACGTTTTTAGTTTGATATGTTAGTGTAAAATTATGTATGTTTTATAGGATGAGTGTGTATAAATCTATGTTAATTAAATAATAATTAGTGATATTTGCAATTTTAAAACGAAGAATTTTTATTCCGTTTTTGGTATTAATAAATTAATTATGAGAACTCTTGTTGCCCTTTGCTTAGTGGCTGCCGTCTTCGCTATTGATACAAACAAATTTGCTGTACTCCTCCAAGCTGGTACTAAAGGAAATGATGCTGTTGAATCAGTTTACAACCTCTTGAGAGATTTGAAGACAGAAAATGTTAATGTCTAAGCTGCTGCCGACAGAAAGAATAACACTGACGAAGGTATTGTTTAAATTTAGAGTTAGAAATCTTTACTTAAGTCATTGGTGACTTGACAAATGTTGCCTCCCTCAACAAATAACAATGGGAAGCATTAGGTGCTGTTCGTACTGATGTTGAAGCCCAAATTAGAGTATTATATTTTTATATAAATTTTAGGATGGATATTCATGGTTAGCATGGGCTGAAGCAAGACTTGCTGAAATCGAAAGAAGAAATGCTTAACTCTAAGATTAAAGATGTTGGGCTAATGGACTCTTTGTTAGATCCTTAGCAGATCATGCTGATGCAGTTGCAGTTGTCTAACTCTTGCAACAAGATGTAGCTGGATGGCTCACAAACAATGCTGGTGTTGAATTAGTTCAAAAGGCTGAAACCATCGCCGACAAATTGTCAGCATACAGTCACCTCTTCTAATAAGATGCCCTCTAAAAATTCTAATCCCTTGCTGAAGTCAAGAGAGATGGTACAACTGGAGAATAAGTTCTTTCCATCTTGGGAGATTTACAAGCTGAATTAGAATCAACACTTGCTACACTCTAAGAATAAGAAATCCATGCTGCCTTTGCTCTTGCCAAATACGTTTCTGATACTAATGCTGAAGTTGCTTGGTTGAACTCTGAACATGAAAGAAGAACAGGACTTGTTGAAAAATTAGAAACTGTATGCATTCATAAATTAATTTTCATTAGTAACTCCCTGCAGTTCTTGCTTAATAAGCCAAAGCACTTAAATTATGGAAAGATTCATTGAATGCAGTTGCTGGTGCCACCGCTGATTTAGAAGAAAAAAGAGAATTCTATGCTTCTGAAACTGCTAGAAGATAAGGTATCTAAATTCTTTTTATATATTCTAGAGGAAAACGCCATCATCGATGTTGTCATCTAATTATTCAAGGATCAAGTTAGAGCCTTAGCCTCATAAACATCCCTTGGTAGAAAATGATTAGATTATTAAATATTCAATTTAAAAATATCCACCAAGTTAAACAATTCATCATCTTATTAACTTCAAATAAATCATAGCCAATTCAATACTCTTATTTCATTTATCAATCTAATTATTATCTATTTATTAAACACACCAAACTTCCGAATCTTAATTTTAAAATGAAACACATTTTTAAAATATCTTAACAGATATGAAAATACAATTAAAAAACACAATATTATATAGAATGCTTTTAAATTATTTATTTTTTAATATTGTCTAAGAATGATTTTATTATAAAATTTATTTAATAGAGAATTATTTGCGCATTATTTAATTATATATAAATAAGTTTACCTTATTAAAAATTTATTAATCAATAAATAAAAATTATGTTAAATTCAAGTATCTATAGTGCTGAAAAAAGTTCAACCTTAAAGACAAAAGGAAATTAAGCTCATTAACTTTCAACAGCAATAAGTAAATTCGGAGATTCAAGTTTGAAATCAAAAAATTAAGAATAAAAAAACATATCTCCTGTTAAATTAAGATTATTTAGAGACTCTCCAAAAACTTATAAAGGACTTGAAGGTTGTATTGTAGGTTAATATAAGTAAGTATATACATAAATTTAAGTCCTTTAACTCCAACTCATGTTGTATTTTCCAACGATAAAATTTCATCTCCAATTAAATCAGCTAGAACATTTAAAGATTCAACAGAATCAGCAAAGGTCAAGTTAAATCAATTTTAAGATTGGAACTCTAAATTAGACATTCAATTATAAATATAAAATAATTAGATTTTAAAATTGAATCATCAACTTGTTCAATAAAGTTATCAACCTTATCAACATAAAAGCTAAAAATTAAATTTATTTTCATAAAGCAATCCCTCAAATTTCTAAAAGTTTGGTAGATAAAGTGACATTTCATCACTTTCATCAAGATTGAACTCTATTCCAACATAATAGATTGTTACATATTAAATAGGGTATATATAAGCAAGATTATCATAGACATCAAAGTGAATTAAATGCATTACAGTCATCATTAAGTAGAATAATGAAAACGAGTAGAATCTGAAAATTAGTGATAATATGAATATTAAAAGTATAATAATTATTTATAATATTAATATTTAAAATAAATGCACAAAATTAAAATTTCCATTAACAAGGATATATATTTTTGTTAAAGACCGTTGAATCGATTCGAAGACTTGATGCAAGAATTCCAGTCTATAAATACTACTTATATAAATAAAGAGAATTTAAATTTCTAGTATTATGTTTTTACTATATTATTAGTTTTATAGATGAAGAAGGAGATAAGGTAGCTATTTAAAACGATTACGATTTGGTGGATTTTAAAAAATAGAATCCGAAATTTTTAAAAATTAAAGTAGAATATAGAGATAAATTAAATTTGACTGAAAGAGTCTATAATAGAGAAATAACAAAAGATGCTATGAAATAAAAAATTATGTAGCTTTTACAATAATATTGAAATTTTTATTAATACTGTGCTTTATCAATCATTATCTCGCAATTAAATCAACTTAAGTTGTAATTCTATTTAAGTTTTATTAACTTTCTTTGGTAACGATTCTTGGTTCCTTTTTTAAAAGAGATTTAAAGTCTGATTTTTAAGACCTTGAATGATTCTAATCATTAGAGTAGATATCCAATGACTTTTCCTAATCCAGATTCATTCTTGTCATTATCCTTAACTAAATATGAGTTAGATTTCAAACACCTTAAATTTGTTTAATAAATATTTAATACCTAATGACCTCTCACATATATTGATCGAGCAAGAGCAGTAGATCTGATATACATCCAATCTAAATCAATAGGCGAAATTTCTTTCACCAAACCAGTTTTAGCTATTAATTCCCATTTTGGAATTTTTATTTTACTATTTTTTCAAATACTCAGCATAAGCTTAACTGAAATTTTAAGCATGTACATCTTTGTTTTAATGAATGATATTACTTTGATTGTGTAAAATGGAGTTAATAATAAAAATATCAAATTTTTTTTGAATTATTATAAAGATATTATTTATTATTAATGGTTCTTGATTATCACTCAGAGAGTGTATGTTATAAGAGATATATTGATTTTAGTATGAATAATAAACAAAGGGTATTTTGTTTTTAATTAACATTTAATAAATTTAAAGTATAGAAATCTGAAAGATGAATAAAAATAACTTGAGAGTATATAAGGATTGGAGTAAAAGAAAATTGCTGAGTTTAAATAGTTTGGGTTGAGAGAATTGAATTTTAGAGGAATTGTGAGATTAGGAATAAAAATGAATGATTATATGATAGATAGAAAGAGAGTAAGAAAAATAGGATGCGAGAGAGAAATGGGAATAAATAAATAAAGGATAAATGAGTAATGGATAGGAGATAGATATTTATATATTTAGATAGTAATTTAATAATAATTAAATGTACATTATAAGGATTGATCGATCCGTTTTTAAAACATTAATAAAAATATATGCAAAAACTAGCCATCTTGACATTAGTTGTTGCTCTTGCAGCTTCCAAATTTGTTGATACCCACACAACTTTGGCTCAAATTGATGCTGATCCATTTGGAAATGTTGTGTTGTCTGCAATCAAGGCTCATATTCAAGCTTAAACACCAGCCAATGAAGTTAATATGTTATTGAACGGTGTGGCTGCTGGATTATAATAAGATCAAAATGACCATGATCATGCTTTCGAATTAGACACAACAACCAATAATAGAGTAAGAATATTTATTAAGAATATCTTAGATTGTAGAAGATTTGGAAAAGGAAATCTTATATCACTAAAATCAAATTACATCCAACACATAATTGAGAGACGACACAATTGAAGCATTGGCTGTTTCTGAAGAAGACATTAGAGTTACAATTCAAGACATTGCAACAAATGAATAAACATATGCCAGAGAAGAAGCCACAAGAAACTAATAACATGAAACCTTTGTTGCTAAAGTAGCTGCCATTGATGACGTTATTGATGCCATTGATGATGCTGCCAAATTAGTTCAACACTTGAGCTTAGGTGCTTCATTTGTCTAAGTTAAATCAAAATATGAAACCATTCACAAGAGACTTACTGATAATACATCCCATTCCTAACTCTTATAAGTATATATATTTTATATTCTTTAGCCAGTTGTTGCTGCTCTTACTGAATTAGCTACTCATGGAGTTAACTAAAAGGCTTTAACCAAGATTGCTTAACTCTTAAGTGAAATCAGATAATAATTAGTCTCAGAAAAGGCTGCTAAAACTGTATTCATTATATTCTAATTCTTATTAAGGATGTTGAAGAAAGATAAGCTGCTCACTGGGCTGAATTCAGCGTTCATTTGAGCAATGAACATACCAGATTGGTTGAAAGAAAAGCATAATTGGAAGTCTAAATCTAAGAATAAAAGGATACAATTGAAGATGCTTAATCATGGATCGAATTCCACACCTTAGAATTAGAAAATAGTGAAGAAAGACTTGCTGGATAATAAGCATGGTATGCAGTCTAATCTGAAATCTATGAAACTTAAACTGCTGAAAGGTATCATCAAATTTTATATATAATAGAGCTGCCTAAAATGAAATCGTTGACAGACTCTAAGAACATATCAGCGAGAAATTATCAACCACCGCTCAATTCATCAGCAAGAGAAATTGATTCATTAACATATACAATTATTGACAATTGTTTCTACATTTAACATTATATATTTGTATTTCTCTTCTCTTACTCCTACTTATTATTATATTTATGAAATTCTTAGCTCTTATTTCAGGAGGCAAAGATTCCATTTACAATATTATTAGATGTTAATAAGAAGGTCATGAACTCATACTCTTACTAAACCTATATCCTAAATGTATTAATGTATTACAATCCTACTAGAAATTGGTGTTGAATCTGATAGCTTTATGTATCAGAGTGTTGGCACTAATGCAATCTAAGCTATTGCATAAGCTATGGACAAACCATTAATGACTAGAGAAATTAAAGGAATACCTAAAATTACTAATTTAGACTATTAAAGTAAAGATGAAGATAGAGTTGGTGATGAGGTTGAAGATCTTTATCTCATTTTAAAAGATGCTCTTCTTGCATATCCTGATATCAAAGGAGTCAGTTCTGGAGCTATTGCTTCCACTTATTAAAAACTAAGAGTTGAAGATTGGTATTTCAATCTGCTTATTATAGTTGTAATAGATTAGGATTAACATCACTTGCTTATTTATGGAATCAAGATTAGTTTTCCTTATTGGATCAAATGTTGCAGAATAATATGAATATCATACTCATTAAAGTTGCAGCCATGGGATTGACTTCCAAACATTTAGGAAAAACCATTCAAGAATTATACGATTACTTTAAAGAAATAGTAATATTATTCAAAAGTCTATTTTTAGAATTCCAAATTTGGATTTCATCCTTGTGGAGAAGGAGGAGAATTTGAAAGCTTTGTACTCGATTGTCCACTTTATAAAAAAAGAATTCAAATGTAGTATCTTATATTTAAATCTCTTAGAAATGAAACAGAAGTTATTTGTCATGAAGAAAATCCTATTGCTCCTGTCTTTTATCTATTAATTAAAAAGTATGAACTCATTGATAAAAATTGAACCTTAAATAACATCGTATTTTATATTCATTATTATATTAAACTTATTTTTATAAATTAATTTTTATAAAACGAATATCATCCCTCATTTCTCAATTTTATATAAATATATTTTTCATATATTATATTTCTATCAACTCAAATGATGTTAAATTGTTTATGTATAACTTCTTTACTTTAAAACTTAGCAATATTACTAATAAATAACTATAAAATTTATTTTATACAATACAATTTCAATAATTAAATAAAAAGTAATGGATGAATTCTACAACTTCATAAGGTTATAATATGATTTAGATTAGTTATAAAATTTAAGTTTGAAATTTCCCTCTCTTGGTATGTATAAATTGATTTGGAAGAACTCTTAATGAAAGAAAGAATTGGAAATAGAGGTAAATGAAGTAAGAATAAATGGAAATATCAATAAATGAGAAGAATTTAGAAAGGGCAATTAATGTCGGATTGATGATTGTGTTTTGTAATGAAATAAAATTATTATAAAATGTGATGTCAGGTAATAAGGAAAATATAGGGTTGGCGTTTATTGGTTAGAATGTATGTAACAAGGGATGAAGCATTATAGACTTTAGAAGGAGAAAAAAGAAATTAATGGATGATAAATCTTAGTTGAACCTGATTATAAAAGTCTTATATTAAATGTGAACATATCTGATATTAAATATATCTTTTTAACATTTGATGTTACATCACCTTAGAAAATACATGTATAATACAACCAAGGCTCTTCCTTTGGAGCAACTTACCAGATGGGGACTACATAATGCCACAGTGGTTAGAAATGCCAGTACACCAGAATTGTATGAGATTGCTGCAATGGATCCATTATCACCAGATCCAGAGACTAGATAAGGTTCAATTTCAAGTACAGGAGCAATGGTAGCATATTCCGGAAGAAGAACAGGGTAATAGAGTGATTGATTGATTTAATTTAGTCGTTCACCAAAAGACAAGAGAGTTGTATTAGACGAATAGACAGAATAAGAAATTTGGTGGGGAGATGTTAACATTCCAATTCCTAAGAAATCTCATAATTTATTAGAATAAATAGCTTTATAATTTTTAAACACAAGACCAAGAGTAAGAGAATTGAATAATAAATGATAGTTATTTGTTGTTGATGGATATGCAGGATGGGATCCTCATAGTCGTTTAAGAATTAGAGTATTTTGTACAAGAGCTTATCATGCATTATTTATGTAAAATATGCTTATAAAACCAACGACGGAAGAATTGAAGAGAGATTTTAGTGATGATGTTGATTTTCATATTTTTAATGCTGGTCCTATGTCAGCACCAAAATTAGTAGAAGGAGTAGGTTCTGAAACTTGTGTATCTGTAAATCTGACAGATAAAAAAATGGTAATATTAGGAACTTAATATGCTGGTGAAATGAAGAAAGGAGTATTTGGAGTTACTCATTATATGTTACCAAAATAAGGTATTCTAACACTTCATAGTTCTGCTAATGAAGGTGTTAATGGTGATGTAACACTATTATTTGGATTAAGTGGTACTGGTAAAACTACACTCAGTGCTGATCCAAAAAGAAAATTAATTGGTGATGATGAACATGGATGGTCTGATTTAGGCATTTTTAATATTGAAGGAGGATGTTATGCTAAATGTGTTGATTTAACATATGAAAAAGAACCTGAAATTTATAATGCAGTTAAGTATATATTAATATGTAAATTCAAGGTTTGGTGCTGTATTAGAAAATGTTGAATTTATTTCAAAAGATTCTAGATAAGTTGATTATCATAATATTTCCATTACTGAAAATACTAGAGTTAGTTATCCACTTGATTTCATTCCTGGAGCAAAAAATCCAGCTCTTGGTAGCCATCCTTAAAATATACTATTTCTTACTTGTGATGCTTATGGAGTCTTACCACCTGTTTCTTTATTAACACCTGAATAAGCTATGTATCATTTCATTTCAGGATATACAGCTAAAGTATAAACTAAGTTTTTAAACTTTTTAGGTTGCTGGTACTGAAATGGGAGTCAAAGAACCTGTTGCTACTTTTTCTGCATGTTTTGGTGAAGCATTCTTACCATTACATCCAACACTTTATGCAACTATGTTAGCTGATAAAATGAAATAACATGGAACTAAATGTTGGTTAATTAATACTGGATGGTCTGGTGGTAAATATGGAGTTGGAAAAAGAATGTCTCTCAAAAATACAAGATCTATTATTGATGCTATTCATAGTGGAGAATTAGCTAATGGATAATTTGATAATTTTGAAGTCTTCAATTTATAAATTCCTAAAAGAGCTACTGGAGTACCTGATTAAATTCTTCATCCCAAAAATACTTGGACGTATTATTCTATTCATTATATTTCATAGAAATAAAGCTGAATTTGATAGAACTTTAAGAAATCTAGGAGATAAATTCAAAAAGAACTTCTAAAAATATTAGAACAAAGCTTCACCAGAAGTTATTAATGCAGGTCCAAAAATTTGAGTACATATTGCAGATATTTATTAAAATATCCAAATATTTCTTCATTCTTTATCTTTTACTCATCTACTTTATCTATTTTACATACATTACAGTTTAAGATCATAAATTATAAAAAATCATTAATTAAATTAATTTTCAAATAAATAAATAATTAATAGCGTTTTTTTATATAAAAATTTGACTTTTAATCTAAACTTTAAAAAATGCCTGCAAAAACTTAAAAGAAAGATTCAAGAATGGATCAAGATGTTATATTATATATTGTTTTTTAATGTTCTTCATTTTCTCTTTATAAATCACATCATCTGCATGAATTAACATCCATACATAGGATGAGGTTAAGGATAAGAGAGGTATTAAGGGGTGTAATATGGTTAGACTGATTAGATTGGCCAGCTTATAAGGTTTGGTTAAATGCAGAATGCAAAAACAGGTTATGGATTATAAATCTATCCCTATAGTATTAATTTTGATTTACTTATGATTGATTAATAGGAATAAAACCAGAATGAAGTTGATTTAGATTATTATAAACTGATATAGATTGATTATCTTATTAGAAGTCAGATTAATTAGTTTTAGGTTGATCATATTCTTATAAAGAATCTAATTTAATGTTTTCTATATTAGAAAGTTTAGATTCCAGTTTAGAAATCTTTAAATTTTGAGCATTTAAGCAATTAGGGATGGTTGATTTGCTATTATTTTCTCCAGAAAAAGTTTCTTATTTAGAATTCTTCCTACTAGAATTTCTATTCTTTTAGGCTATATAATTATTACTAAAATTATTTATATATATTACTTGATGTCAAATAGTTGATTAAGCATAGATTTAATATAGTTCACATCATTTTCTGAAAGCATTCTAAGTTCTGCTTTTTCTGTATATCTATATCGTTTGATAAGTTATTAAAATTCTGTTTTCATTTTCTCATCAATGTTGAAACTTTTAAAAGAATCTTCTTTGCAATAAATGACTCCTAAAACACTAGGTTTAATTTGTTTAAGTAAATCTGATGCTAAAAAAGAATGAATATATATTTACATTTATCTAAACCAACAGCCTTACTGAGTCGACGTAAGACTTTTCTTAATGTAGCATAAAAATAGTTTTTGCATAATAAATCAGAACGGCCAGGCATTTAGGAAGCAATTCTAGCCCAGCTATTTCCACAAGATTATTAAAGATTGAATAAATTGTCTTCATCTTCTTATGTCCAATTACTTTTATTCAAATTGGGGTTAAGAATATTTTAAAATCGTTCCCTACAAGCAGCAGAAGAACGAATTTTTTAAGTATTTTTCACTATAGATTGAAGTTCACGTGCAATACGATTCCAAGAGGTACAACCATTAAGTTTTATAAGTTCTAATAAGAGTTTGTCTTCCTAAAAGAATTGTAAACTAAGTTTACTTGATAGGACCAGCTCTATCGAGTTTCTGATTATTTAGATTACATTGTTACTGAGTAACTTGGCAAGATTATTTGAAAATAAGATATATAATTTATATATTATGAAAATTTTTGGTAATCATACTAAAATAATATAATAAAATGTCATTTTTTTATGCTGGATTCATGTTATTTTTAATCAAGCAATAGTTTTGCTTCAATAAGTACATCCTCATTATTATTATCATCAAAACTTTCCTATTTTTATTTCTCTATCTTATTACTTAATTTATAAAATGCTAACTTAAAATTTTAAGAATCAAATAATTACACTTGTTATACCAAAAGTTGAAATAATTATTATTCCTATTAATTTTTGAAATTTCAACAATCTATATTATTTTTAGGATAATTTTTCATCTATTATTTCATCTCTCAGTCCTCTTAAGTACTTGTTAAATCTTTACATTACTTTCATATCACAAACAGAATTGAATAAATTTAATATTATTAATGAAAAATTAATTTTCATATTGTTCAAAATAGAATTCACATATACAATAAACACCTTTTGGAAACTCATAAAATATTTAAAAAAGCAATTAATAAAGCAAATAAAGATTGCAAATATTTGATGATTTTAAAATTCAATAACCATAATCCTTTTCTTAATTTAATAATTTTTCTATAAAATAATTACATGCACATTAATAAAATGATTAATTATAATAATAACCTTTCACAATATTTTAAATACCTAAGGGATTAAAAAATATAGGAAATAATTGTTTTATGTATATTTTTTTTATATTTAGGAATGCAATTTTATAAATGTTATACAGTATTAAGTAATTTAGAAAATCTATCTTAGATTTACCGGCTAAATAACTTCAAACCGATTCTATTAGTCTTCATTTGTATACATTGTTTTAAGAATTAAAATCCTCTAAACAAATTTATTTAAATCCTTCTCAATTTTATCATGCATTTTGTATAATAATTAATAATCATTTTAGTGAATAAACATAACTAATTTTAATTTGGCAGATAAGAAGATGCACATGAATTTTTATTGTGTTTATTCTAATCTTTAGGATCGGATTGCAAAAACAAATAAATCGAAACAAGCTTTGTTGATGATATCAAAAATTTTTTTGAAGACCTTTTTCTTGGAAATGAGAGAGTTTTAGAATCTAAAATAGAAAAAGAATGGAAATTAAAAAGATAATTAGAAAGCAATATTATAACAAATTTATTTGTTGGTTTATTTAGTAACAAAATCATTTGCAAAAATTGTTAATTTGAGTAAATTCATTATGAAGAATTCAATGTATTAGCTTTAAGTTTAGAATATTATTTAGGTATTTATAATTTTAAAAAAGAAAGCTGCTTACTGAATGAACTAATCAAATTTTAATTTAAACCTTAAATCATAACAAATTATAAATGTTAAAAGTGTTTATAAGATGAACACTAATTAATGTAATAAATAAAATAATTAGAGTCAAAAAATAGCAAAACTTCCAAGAATTTTAATTATTTAATTAAAGCGATTTAATTATTAAAATTCTGCATAGAGAATAAATACAAACATTATTTTTCCTTTTGAAAATTTATCTTTGGTTGAATAATGCACTCCAAATATTAGATCTTGTTCATATGACTTATAAACTATAATCCATCATTCTGGAACTTGCAATAATGGCCATTATTATGCGTACTTTAAAAATATGATAATATAATTAGGACATGTAGATATGAAGAAGATAATAGAATAAAATGGTTTAGATTTGATGATTCAATGGTTGAGGAAGCATAATTGGAGAAAAGACAATATGACACTTATGGTACTCCTACACCATATATGCTAATTTTTGAGTAAAAACAATATTCATAATGAAAAATATTATTGTATTCATTTTAATTTATAAAAAAAAATTCTTTTGATGAATCATGATTCATCTAGCTTCATTTTTCAAGTAATAATTCAATTATCCTTTAATTAAATATTTTCTAAAATTATATGCCTAAATTATAAATTTTTATAGAGAAATGCTTCTTCTTTCAAAAGTTTATAAACATTACCTAGATATCATCAAAATTAAAATTAGGTATAGAATAATTAAACAATATATCATTTAATTCTAAATTTTTATCAAATCATTTATTATTACTGTTTAATTAATTTAATTTTCTATTAACCATGACTAAATATTATTATTAGAATTGAAATCTATATTCTGTATGAACTTTAACTTTAACAATACTTTCCTAAATTATAAACAATATTACAAGGTCTCATATTCTTTAAATATACATTATCTCTTAATTTAATTATAATTTCATTTAATAAATATGGCCTGACTAATTAAATTGTTGCTTAATAATAAATCCTTTAAATTTTCTTTTTTTACTACTTAATCAATTCATTTTTTAACTTATATTCAATATAAGGTTTATATTTAATAAAAGAAAATTAAATTTCTTAATTTCTTTTTATTTACATAAACTGATAAAATGGATTTTAGAATTTATATTTTAGTTAATTGTTTAGAAAATATATTAGAAGTGAAGAATTTTCAGATTAGTTTTATTAATTTATTTTTTAAATCTAATTTGTAAATTTCAATACTATTTAAAAAATAGAAATTAGATGCTAAAAAAAGGCAAAGAAAAAAAAATAGAATATAATAATATTATATCTTAAAAATTTAAAAGTATCTCCAGTTAGAATAATTAATTAACTGTAGCTATTTTAAAAACTAAAAAATTAAGAAAAAATTAAAGAAATTATCTCAATATCAAATTATTTCTTAGACAAAATTTATAATCATAATAGTTTTACTGTATTTGAGTTAATTTATAATTATTATTATTAGACGAGATAACTTAAAATTAATTTAGAATATTAGTAATTTTGTTTTAATGATTTTTATCTCTAACATGA